AGGTGTTCATTTGGAACAATAAATTAAGGCCCTGTATGCTGTAGGCCATTCGTCTTTAATATCCTTTCAATATGTAAACTGTCTACTACAGTTGCCATGCATGGAAATGAAACTGAAATTATTTCTTAAAATCGTGTGTTATATCAAAAAAAAAATGTTACTGTTAAAATAGTGCTTAATACATCAATTGTAGAGCTATATAGAAATACCACTGTTAGAAAAGTGCTAAATACATCAATTGTAGAGTGATATAGAAATACCACTGTTAGAATAGTGCTAAATACATCAATTGTAGAGTGATATAGAAATACCACTGTTAGAATAGTGCTAAATACATCAATTGTAGAGTGATATAGAAATACCATTGTTAAAATAGTGCTCAATACATCAATTGTAGAGAGATATAGAAATACCACTGTTAAAATAGTGTTCAATACATCAATTGTAGAGCGATATAGAAATACCACTGTTAAAATAGTGTTCAATACATCAATTGTAGAGTGATATAGAAATACCACTGTTAAAATAGTGCTCAATACATCAATTGTAGAGCGATACAGAAATATTATAACAGAACGTAAAAAAACATGTTGTTACTTGTGCCCTGCGATTATATTGAAATGTTTCTATCAATAGTTTTATTTATGAATCTTTGAAATCTTTTAAGAACCTGTTGAGATATTTGATGATTGATTATTTCAGGATGCGTACGGTGATACAGCATTACATGATGCTATTGGTAAAGAAAGTCAAGAAATTATTGATATATTAGTCAACTATCCTATGATAGATTTTACATTAAAAAATAAACGTGGTTTCAATGTCTTACATCATTCAGCATTGAAGGGCAATAATGTGTAAGTAGTGTTTTAGATTGTAAAAAAGCATACACAGGTATCCCAGACTTTCTCTATTTAGAGATTACGGTGATTAAAAGTTACTATATAATTATAGGCACTGGCACAGGGTTAGAGGAATTCCTCTATTTTTGTAGCTGAAATAGTATTTTGTTAGTTTCCGTATAAAATCTAATTCATCCAATTGCTGATTCTGGCAAGAAGGTTTCTTTTTAGGAAATGACGTTCAAAGCACCTAAAATCTCTTCAGCTTCAGGATGTGAAGACCTGTGTACCCACATGGAGGCCTTGAACTCCCTTTATTGCCGGCTGATATTTTCCATTATCTATTATTTTTTTTTCCTTTCTGGGATCCCTGAAATAAAGGACATGGAATGAGAAATTTACACATTAAAGTTTTCAGAATTTTAAAAACTTATTATCCAAGATATCCAGAAAACATAGTATTCCATCTCCTTTTTGCCAACTGTACCTTACTGTTGTATTAAGCGACCTCATGAACCAGATTTGTATGGTTGAAACTACTTAATAAACATCATTCATGTGCTACAATGTTGTGAGAATGTAAATTCATCCTTTTAAAAGTGTATGATTTCTTCTCAAGATATCTCAATAAAGATAGTATTTATTTGTTTCCAGGGCAACAGATCGTGTCTTAGTAAAATGTCGTCAGATTGTAGATATAAAAAAAGACGATGGTTTTTCTTCGTTACATTTAGCAGCTTTAAACGGACATAAAGATGTAGCAGATACCTTACTCTCAGTGGTATGACTATTTTTATGCTATAAGTTTAATGAGAAAGGTGTGACAGCTTCTAGTCATTGGATTGGGCAATGTATTGAGACTTGTCGTGCTACAAGAAGTGCATTTTGGAAATTGAAAAGTAGGCTAGTGTCACTGTACTAGAAATTGTAAACTGCATAGTGTTGCTAATCCTGATTATCAGATGGAGCTGCTGTCCTTGCCAAATTCCTGCCCACAAGGTGCAGAAAAGTAAAACGTAAAACTCCATCTCATTTCTTGCCTAATTCCTTCACTGATTGGCTTTGTTCCCCTTCATTAGTCCAATCAGATTCAGAAAAGTAGGATATAAAACTCTATCCCTTTTCCAAGAAATTCTAATAAATGTCCAGGATCTTGGCTTAAAGTTTTCCTCTGTGAAAACATTTTACAGTTGTGTAAATATGTGCCAGTTTCTTTCTTTTTTTATCAAAGTGAAGTTATGTTAAGATTATCATTCAGTCTACTATTTTGAAAATGATATTTCTATCACCTTTAAAAAGATCAGTCAAATTTGCTTTTAATGACAAATGTATGAAAACAGTAATTTTATAATTCTAAAAAAACTCTGAAATTTCTTTCTAGGGTCAAGCTGATATTGAAATCCGAAATAATCGACAGCAGACTCCGTTACTATTGGCCGTGTCTCAAGGTCATACAGCTTTAATTGAGTTATTAGTCAGTCGAGGAGCGAATGTTAATGTTGAAGATGAGGACGGTGATACGTGCTTACATCTAGCTTTAATGAGACAAACTGTAGCCACTGAGAAAGAAAGTTCTCCAATGTTGGATGCTGTAAGTCAAATTCCTTGTTTTCTATCATTGATTGGGGTGGGGAAACCACCTAGCTAGAGGTCTGAGTTCACCAATGTTAGATGCTGTTAGTCAAATTTTTCCTTTCATTCTGGATTGATTCCAGAGCCAGGATTGCTGAGCAACTTCAATGCGTGGTTTCTAAGGGTTTCTGAAGTCTGGCCATTTTGGTACCCAAATTTTGCCTTTTGACATAGTGAAAATTCGCAAAAAAAAAAGTGACCCAAAATATGAGCAACTATAAGATGCCTTAAACATGCCCATTCTGAGGGTAGTGCCAGATTTGTCAGGCTATCTGATCAGATTGCAGGTATGTAGGACATAAGCACCATTTCATTTCATTTCGAAGAAGTTTTGTAAGTGTGTATAATCGCGGTAATTGTAGATTCGAGCTCGACTTGGTATGACAGAAGAAGAAGATCAAACTGGAGCAGCCATTGCTTGTTTCCTGGCTCAACAAGGTGCTGATCTGTTACATAAAAATCATCTGCAGAAAACACCATTAGATATTATTAATGATCCTAAGGTTGAGGTGGTGGTAAAACAGTTTGCTTCTACATTGTGAGTAACTTTATTCATGTTTGTTTTTTCTACAGAATGAAATGTAATTCTATAGATAATTAGGCTTTATTTTAGTTAAAAGTTGTAGTTACATAGAAAAAATTAAGAATATCAGACTGTTTTTTAAATTAAATGAAATGTAGTCCATGTAACAAGGATTACCTGCTATTTTTACATTGGAAAACTAAATTGATACGCCCCACCCCCATTTGCTTAAACATATCATCATTGCTTATGAAATTGTTTAAATACAGAAGGATTGTTCATTGTTCAATTCAAATACAGCACGGAACTAATCATTATAATTTATTTGTTTTATTTCAGTGCTGAGAAATGTGAAATGGAAGAAGATTTTATTGAGTGTGAAGTTTGTAGTGATCAACGAGCTAATGTAACGTTTTTACCTTGTGGTCATGTGACCACCTGCGTAGAATGCTGTATTAAAATGAAGAAGTGTCTTAAATGTCGTGAAGTTATAACGTCCAAGAAAGGACCAGGTAGGATAATTTATAAATTTGGTGAACTTTGAACCCTGTGGTCAAGGATTAGCTTGTAAACATAATCAGGGGGATTATTTCCTTAGATTACCTTAGATAAAATCCAGATTTAAAGAAATACACTAATTTGATTGGATGATAAAACTAAATTTAAAAACGATTCTAGTCATAGACCAATCAGATGATCAGAGCGCTAAATAATCTTGAAAAAGGTCTCCTAGAGAAAGGCCACTGTGAATTTAGGTTTTTATCTAATGAGAAGAGATAGATTCTTGACATTGTATTATGTCTAACTTGATATCTGTACGCATGTTATATTTGATATTTTAGGTGGTGATATAATAGGTACTGATACAGCTCCAGAAAATAATGTTTTAACCGAGGCAGCGTTATTACGAAGGAAGCTACAGGATATTGAAGATCAACAGCTGTGTCCTGTTTGTATGGAACGAAGAAAAGATCTGGTCTTTATATGTGGTCATCAAGTCTGTTCTGTCTGTGCTACGTCCCTCAAACTTTGTCCAATTTGTAGAAAACCTATCACTAAAAAAATCATGCTGTTTTCGTAAAGACTAAGTATTGAATTAACTCTTTCAAGTGACTGATTTTTTTCATAAATTAAGATCTGTCACAGTTTCTGTCTGAATATCTCATCTTTAGGTAATAGTGAGTTGGATTATTGTCAGTTGTGACTACAACAACCCCTGATATATAGTTGAGCAAGAATATTTGTGGAATGTACATGCTTAAGTTGTAATTCAGGGGCGCCTTCACAAAAAATCTTACAATCAATTTTGTCCTAAGTATGGTATTTCTCAATGAAAAATTCCATGCTTTCGACAAATTCTTATATTAAGATTTTTTGAAGAACGGAGCTCAGACCTATATGTATGAAAATGTCTTTGCCCTGCTATTATGATCAAATCAAATTAATTGATTTATGTTGAGGTCTGGGTTAAAAAAAGAGTATTTCTTGTTGGTATAAGCTCAGGATCTGGATTGTCAATCTCTATTTCCATAAGAGTGCTAAATGTTTTACATTACTGTATTAACTTACTGAGATCTGATAAATGGTGGTTGAAGGTTCTAATCTCAGTCTGCTTGTACATGTCTGATGACAGCTGTAAATGAGTCAATATCAAGAGAATTGGCCACTGACTTACTGGCAGAGGGATTCCTCGTGAACCCAAGTTGTTATTCTTGTAATAAAATTGTTGTTCCTTTCCTTCTATTGTCTGCTAAAATGGCATCTTGTAACAGTTGGAAACCAACTATATATAATTCTTTTCTAAACTAGCCATCCTGCTATAATTGCGAGTGTGATATACTGTACATATTCTCTTAAATTCTAACCTGTTGTACATACTGAATTAATTATTTTATATTTCTACTGAAGGCTTGTACACATTTATTGTCACTTGTACAGTTGATTTTATCCTTATATAATGTACAAAAGTGTTATCGTTGTAATTAACCAAAAATTGAAATGATTTAGAATAGCCGTACAGTATTCAGAATAAATATACAATTATTCTGAATGATGTACATTAATTCTGAATTTGGTACATTTATTCTGAATAGGGTACAATAATTCTGTATAATATATAGCTGGTCTGGATAATGTACAGTTATTCTGAATACGGTTATTCTAAATAATGTACAGTTATTCTGAATAGGGTACATTTATTCTAAATCATGTTCAGTTATTCTGAATAGGGTACAGTTATTCTAAATAATGTACATTTATTCTAAATAGAATACAGTTATTCTAAATAATGTACAATAATTCTGTATAATATACAGCTAGTCTGTATAATGCACAGTTATTCTGAATAAGGTTATGCCAAATAATGTACAGTTTTTCTGTGTAATGCACAGCGTGTCTGGATAATGTACAGTTATTCTGGACAATGTATAGTTATTCTGAATATGGTACAGTTATTCTGAATAGGGTAGTTATTTTAGATACTGTACATTTATTCTATACTCAATTAACCTGAAGACTGTACAGTCACTCTGAATAATGTACAGTTATTCTGTATAGTGTACAGTTATTCTGAATACTGAATAAGTTATTTATATAAATATTATATACAGAAACTCCTATTTATTTATTCTATTTTTACTTCTATTTCTAAGATAAGTTCAGGTAAATGCCGCTGTCCTGGTAAAATTTCCTTCATTGCACCCTGCATGGTGTTGCCCATCTTCATTAGCCCACATGGTGCAGAAAAGTAGGACGTAAAACTCCAATCATTTCATTTTTTTCATTTCTAAGATTAGTTCAACTGTTCTAGCCCCACCAAGTACCTCAGACGTGATATACAGATGGGATATCATCACTGGGTGGGTCTTAGTTTTCAGGCTTTATCAAAGAATATCCAAACACTCTATTGCTAGGCTGGTCAACTTGACTACACATTCAGATAACACAGAACTGGTTTTTATTTGGTAAATATTATTATTCCCTCCCTCCCATCTCTTACAATAAGAAACTAGCTGCGAGTTAAATATTTTACTATGTTATAGAAGTTATCTCCTTATGTGGTGCATCTCCAACCATTTAGTCTTAAGTTCATGGCATTTAGTACATTTTATGGTTATATTTGAAGGCTGTTGTGGTTATAGGTTTAATGTGTTTTAAGAATGAGGCACATCTTTAAATTACATTGAAATACTAACATCCCCCAACACTACATTACTTCTGTTCCAAACCAATTTGACTAAATGATGAACTGAGGGATTTTTATATGTATCAAGGGACACCTTTATGTATTACTTTAGTTGTACCATTTGGCGTAAAAGGGTATTTGTTTGATTTCGTGTAAGGATTTCTAGAAATACTGGCACCACAAACAATGGTCAGGGAATCAGAATGAAGCAGCTAGAAACTAGATGTATAAGAATCCATAATATATAGATACAAAGACTAAAGAAGCGTTTTGAATTCCCTTCAGTATTCTAAATAAACGCATGTCATCAGACAAGCCATTATGAATTTTATTACTTTGAACTTGTGCTAATACTCAAGATCTAGTAAAGAAAGAGAATAAATATTTGGTTGAAATTGAAATTTTTGTAAAAATTTATATTTGAAACTATTTATTGTATAAATTGTGTATAATTGTATATATTGTTAACTCTCACTAAAAAATCTCCTGCCTCTGCCTATGCTTTTGTGTTGCTGAAGTTATTCCCTTCCATTTCAAACATTTTTTACAGTTGACTCTATCTAGTATGAATATAGTCTTGCAATGATTTATAAACCTTTTAGTCATCAATAGTAGGCCTATAATGATATATTGCATTGTCGGGGCCGTAACTAGGGTCTTTTTTCTCCAAGGCAAACATCCTGTTGGTTAGGTCTTTCATCGCAATGTTTTCGTTACACTTTAAACAATTACCACCTTTACTGTAGACATGAACTAAATGAAAGATTTACCAGATATTATATTAATATTTTTAATTTTTTTAAAAGAAATCTCTTTTTTGTCTAATTTGGCATGAGGCATGCGCCTTGATGTAGTTACAGCCCTGGCCACATATTCTCAAAACAATCTTAGTACTAGGATGTCCTAGGTTCTTATCTTCTAACATTGATTCTAGGACTTCTAGTTTTTTTCGAGAATACGTGGCCTGATTGTGCAGATTATTTTTATGTGAAGAAAAATATTATCTTCTAAATAGTACTGTTGTTAATCTTAGAATGTCTTTGATAAAAATATAAGCACACATGATCAGTTTTGAAAATATTTTAACAGAGGACATTTTCACACTAAACTTTTGGGACATTTTTTATTAAAATTTCTCTAAGGGAAGTGTTTTTATTCAATGTTAATTTGTAAAGATTCATATTTTTATCAATGCAATGTAATTTTAGGATTGTTTGTACTGTTTTGAAGTAGTTATTCAAATAATCTTAATGATCAACAAATTTATCATATTGATCCAAGGCCAATTTTAGACATTGCAAGACATTTTAGAGCTCCTGTTAGACTAGACTGGCAAATCCAAACAGCTCAATAGTCCTGAATGATTCATTATCCCCATATCCAGTACTGTCTGAGTGGAACAGACCCTGCCTATTGTATTGTATATAATGTACACAAGATTGGAAATAAACCTTATTATAATGGATTGGTTTTTTTTAAACTATATTGGTATAGGATCCCTGAATTATATTTGGCAGTGATGGCCCTTACAGAAATCATTTCTACCCCTTTCTAGCAAAATTAAGATATGATTTTTGTAAGTTTTTGTCGTAAAATATGTCTCTGAATGTACAAAATCAATTCCATTTTGCAAAATTTTACTTGGGGAGAAGCCTCTCAAATCCTCCTTGGGGGGCTTCCACAGAGCTGCTGAAATTAGGTAGAATCTGAACCTTGTCAGTTGTCCCCCCCATCTTTCCTCTATTGTACCCCTATTATCAGGAGGTTGACATTGCTACTAGTGTGAGAGCAGCGGATACCTTCTTTGTCTTCATTAATATTCAAAAATATTCCTTGTTAAGCCCTAGGGCAGCTTTCTTGGCATGTTCCTTTAGCAACAGTAGATATAACCATCGTTTCTAGGAGAGGCATAACCTTGTTGAAGATTTATAGGTCTATTTAAAAACAAATTTATAATATGTATAAAAATGCCCCAGAAAATGGCTTGGAACTCAAACCCCTAGCTAGCCCATGTATGCCAATTTATGATGGAAACTTAAAAAGAAAAAGAAAATGCCAAAAATTACAAAGGTGAAAAAGTTTAATAAAGTGAGCAAGTAGAAAAAACAACAATAGTAATTGCACATATTTTAATAATTTCCCTTTCATTGGGAGTTCTATTCTTTGGAATGCTTCATGGCCCTATTCTGTATCACACATATAAGCTCTTGAAATTTACAGCGATTGTAAAGAGGTTTTGTAAAAATTTGATGTGTATAAGGGATACTTATAGCATCAGTATGCACCATTCCAGTTTTCAATCAGATGTCTGTGATTCTTGCAATTCCACTAAAACTATTTGTTACATGATGTCACTATCACAAAGGTCCTTATATTTCAATAGCATCTTAGCGATAGTGATGAATAAAATGCTAACTTTTAGTGGAATTGCAAGAGCCACAGACATCTGACTGAAAATTGGCATGGTGCAAATTGATGATATCAGATTCCCATAAGAAGTTTAGAGAACCTCATTATTATCCCTTTCAGTGGTAACATTTGAAATTTAAACCACAGCTGAACTGATGAGGTTTGTTTATCTCAAACACATGTTAGCAGGATGACAGCTCTTGGCCAATAAAGATGTGGGATGAACATAAGTACCATTAACCCATAAAATTATCAATCTTCACCAGATAGTATTCATGATTAACGGGAAGAGAAATACTAGGTTGGCTTCAAATTTTCTATAAAAAAAAAGAATAGCTGGAATTCAACTAGGCCCAACAATAACTATATCTGGGAATAAATGAGACACATCAGTTTAAAGTGTCAATAAAAAGTGGATTTCCTGCCACAATGTTTAAATAAGAAAAAAATAGAATGGTTTGAGATAATCTTTCAAAGTTTCTGGCATTAACTAGAAGACACCTCAAATATGACAAGTCCAAGTTTGTGATCATTGAAATAAAGAGTCTTCGGTTCCATAAGAAATTGGATTGTTTTGAATATGACTGAATGTGTAAAAATATGTTGCTTCACTATAATCATAAGTTCTGTGAACAACCCTTCTCCCTCTGCTATAGTTTTGAAATAAGGACGACAAATAACAAACACAGACACTAAATACTGGTAGGAAACAAAAGTTTTGAAAAATCAAAAGGAATCTTTCAGATAATGCTTTAATTCTCCAATATAACACACTGCCTCCTGCACCAGTGCTTTTGTGTAAACTCTTAGGATGTAATACAATGTAATATAGTCTTGAGTAGAGAAGAAAGTATCAGCTAAAGCGAATCCTAGGGTTGAGGGAATGAAACCTCGGCCGTATTCCACCATCCATGTATTGTCTGTCCATGAAACTGCCGTTACTTCTCCCCATTCATGATAAACTGTATCACCTAGTCAACAAAAGAAAGGACAATAAGGAAATGTTAAAAATAAACATATTTTTCGAAATGATCTTAGCGCTAGGATATCTCAGATAAGGATCCTTTCTACTAGCTGGTCCTTGGCCAAACCTCTTAGCTATAATCTTTCCCGTACTCAATTACAGCTGGGTTGAATGGAATTATGGGTGAAGATGACTTATTCAAGGTCATCAGACTTTCACATGCCAATCGAGATCGGAGCCCATTTGCTCCACGTAACCAAGCAAATGATGTCATGTTAAGAACCTATACTCTTACCAACTGTGCCATACAACCTCATAATAAAGATTGTCAACCATTTTCTAATTTCATTGATCCTTGAGGGTCGAAGGAGCTAATATGGAACACTGTTTGAGATATTTTTGAATGAATTATGTGTTTTTCATACATTTTAAGTACTCCTTAAGTACTACATTTATTCAAGACTCAAATCAACCCCCCCAAAATAGGTCACCTGTACCTTTATGTCCATTTTAATTTATACTTTGACCTCAACATAAACAACTTGAAATAGTAAAACTCTAACAGCCTACCCGGTTTATAAATCTGATGTTTTAATTTTCCCTCTTTCCATTGTTTAAAAGTACCAGTTATTAAAGTGTCTGTTATATTAGCCCAGTAACGACCTAAAATAGATAACACATTTCATAACAATTTAAATAACTACATATATAAACTTGACAGGATGATCTAAAAACTGTTTTTATAATATCAGGATGAAATGTACACACAAAATTGCAATGCTACTCCACCCCTTCAAGGACATAGTCTCACATAGTTCTAGGTGTTGCCTACGCCTTACAGCAGAGATTAAACAAATTGGATTTGCATTAAAAAAAACCTCAAAATTGAATATATCATCATGAAAAAAGTCCTCAGATTCAAACTGATGCATTGCAATCTCAGAAAATTCATACTGGTATCAATATGCAATCTATATTTTCATCAAGTAGCAAAATTTACATAAGATTCATACTTAACTGAACTCCCATTGTTTTTCGCTTATCGCTACACTAACATAAGGTGGGGGCTCATCTCATGATCAAAATATTGACGAAGTCTATTTAGCGTTGACAACAAGGGATCCCAAATGACATTACTGTAGTGTATGACGGCGTCACAAATTTCGTCCAATAAATGCCAAGATGACAATAACTCCAATCCATTCCTTCGGTGTGAAGCTTTGGATGGATTGGCAGATGAGTTTAATGCTCATACCTGAATGTCCAGTGGTTTCTAAAGCTGTACCAAATAACAGAACATATTCGGTTAACGAGGCATGGAGAACTGACATGGACCCCATCCAACCACCAGCATTCATAAATATCCATTGCTGATCTTTATTGGGTAGAATATGTCCAGGATATTTTGATCTTAATTCCTTGATGATCTGTGGGAAGGCTACCTCTGGACTTTTACCTAGAAATCAAGGAGAAGAAACACATAATAAAATATACAATAACAAAATATTTTCATTGTTAAAATGGTGCTGAATAGTCTACATCAAGGGTTGGGCATCGATTACCAAATTTAGATGGCAGACTACCGATCAATAATCGATTAATAATCGAAATCATTTAATTAAGAAATCCTGTAAATACTAAATAAAAATCTCAATTTCATGGTAATTTTTGCGTTATAGAAGTTATCTTGCTTTGATCGCTTATTAAAGTTTATTGTGATTAAGTTTAATGTGCTGAAGGGAACTTATGTGGAAGAGATTATTACATGTTAATGGGTTCAGGGGAGAAAATGTGACTTTGACATATAATCGATTGTGAAATTTGATAATCGATAATCGAAATTATAAATTCTAGAGACGATAATCGATTATTACAATCATTTTACCAAGCCCCATCTACGTCCATGTTGTGCAATATATAGATATATAAGTTACTCAGAGTTTGAAGCAAAGAAAATACAAAGTGATATCAGTTCCATGGTGGAATGTCTCCATCACACGTCAATATTGCGTGAAGACAGCAACCACAAAAACTAAGAAACATAGATAGAATTTGTATTTTGTAAAACTAAGACACCAATTTTATGTAAAATGACCTGAATGTTATTGTCACAACAAACCTGAATACTTCTTGGCGATGGCGGCAACTGAATCATGAGAAAATGTGAACGATTTATGCTCTAACCAATATTTTATGCAGAAAATAGCAAAAACTATCACGAGGATCCATTTTATCAGTTTTCTACGGAACGCCATTGTCCAGGGAGATAATTTAACAAAGAATCGTTTTCTGTTGAGTAAAATAAAGCCTAGTTATGTACGAGACCGCATTTCGTTTTCCGTTAGATTATTTCTGAGTCAATAATTTTAATTAACCATACTCTATCTTCCTCCACATGCGAAAGAGTAGAAGGAAATTGTGAAGAATTTTGTTATATTTTCAAAGTTTTTAAGAAATCAGAATGGAATACATCACGCCCCTTATTCCAAATGCAATCAAATCTATCCCAGTACACATGGTAATGTTATTTTCAATTTTATTTTGACATATTTTGAGTTTTAGGGGATTAGTTTGTCAGCATATGGAAACCGGGAAACTCTTTTCTAACGCGTTACACGTCAGCGTTCATTGTTTTCAGTCCCAAATCTCTTTTTAGTTTCCTATAATTACAGAACCATGTCTAAAGTTACTCATAAAATGAATTTTATAGTAACAATGACTGGGCTATCTAGCATAGTTCTTCCCAAGTAGATCTGTTTTGGTTAAACCTGGAGTCATAGATTGACATTGCTGTATAGCTTATAAAATGACTGGCCTTCCCTACTTAGTACCATATTATATAGGCAAATTTTGCTTTTTTGTCTTCCAACAAGTTTAGGATGGCAGCATACAATTCACCTGTTTTGTTTGCATAAAGTCAAAAAAGTATTTGCTACAATTACAGTTTTGCTGAGAATTATTATTAAAACATGTTATTAAATAACATATGGTTTCATTCTTTTTTTCAGGATTTTGATGGCCAGAAAAGAGCAGAAAGAACATTCCAGATTATCATAGTTGTATTTGGAGTAAGTGATTAATGTTTTTACTGAATGTTTACAGTCTTTCTGTTGAGGGCTCTGAAAATTGGTTGTATTTGTTAGCGTACAATCCAGTCAAATCACTATATTCTCTGATACAAGTCTAATGAATGCAAGGTATTCCCCCCTCCCCCCCCCCTCCAAAAAAAGTGCCGAAAATTTGCACCTGCAGTGCACTATTCAAACAATTCATGGTTGAGAGACAGGAAGACCATTCGTTCGTTTTGGGACCCATCTCCACTCACAGATGCGCCGTTACGAAGGGGCACACACAGCGAATTTTATCGTGCGCATATTTTCGTTGATCATATCATGCGATCAGTACAAATGGTGGACCGCCACTGAGAGGACTTGCCTTGACAGTAAATTTTATTGGTTGAAAGAAATGGGTCGCTCTATAGATCAACTAGATGAAAATTGAAGTTTTTAATTCAAAATTAATTTTCTCCTAGGTCGTGGACACCCGCTGGATGACTGGAAAATTCAGTAACATGCAACGTTCCTTTCTTTCTATAATATTTCTGAGAGCTATAAAGATATGGTGTCACCAGCTCAACTGAAATGCTCTCATGCCGCTATACTCTGCAATCGAATTCGCACCTTCAGTCCGACCCCCTTTGAATAAATCTTGCGTATGCCACTAGTCCCCCCTCCCCTGTTCATAGACATGAACTTTTATTTAATTCTTATTTTCAGAACTTGCTGTCCTTATGAGGATTTTGTATCTGAAACACTTGTCATCAGCTGTCAGTTGTCTCGTGAAATTGGTATTTCATTAGCCCAATAAGTTTCAGAAGAGTAGAAACTCCATTTATTTCATTTCTGTTTCAGATTGTTGGGTTTATTTGGGGCTATGTCTGTCAACAATTTTCTCAGACCATGTACATTCTTATAGCTGGTTTTGCCTTATCCTGTTTGGTAAGAGACACTTTTACTTTCTTATAGCCCCAGTTTATTTAAAATAAAGTTGAAAGAAGTTGTGAAGGTTATTGCAGGACTAAGGTACATCCTATGTACTTCCAATATTACCAATGTAAGGAGATAAGAAAGGCAATTACAATTGAAGAATGAAGATACAACCTTTTTATGCTAATGCTTAACCGTTCGGAAATTCCCATTCCAAGTTTCTTGAGTACCTCTGAATCTCAATGACCCTGTATCAGTGAACAGTTTAGAGACCTGGTTCCCAACCTGGAGTGTCAGGGTTGTGGCCAACCCTTGTAGGAGAAGAATGAATCTACAGGGATCTTTATTCAGGATTAATGGTGTATGTTTATCAATTGAGGGTTGTGGAAGAAACACTACTATGGTTATTATGATTATATAAAAGATGATATACTTTACAAGGTTTTGAGGGTGTAAGGATATCAGATGATTGTCACCAGGGTGTGAAGAATGAAGGCTGGTAACCACTGCTCTAGAGGCTTATCAAACTCATTATCTTCAAACTGGTCATTAACATACTCTCTCTTGAGAAGTTATTTCATCTGATTTATTTTTTTCTCTTTCTATTTCAGCTCACACTTCCTCCATGGCCGATGTATAGAAGAAAACCTTTAAAATGGCAAAAAGTTCAAAAAGTTTCCCCAGCTCAGTCAGGAGATGCAGACAGTTCTAGTCAAAAAAGTAAAAAGAAGAAATAAATTATATTTCTTTTTATTTCAATCAAATATTTGTTATGTTGTTTTTTCTGTCAAAATCTTTTATCGTATTTTCATGTCATCAAGTCAAAGAAATTGTGTGTTTAAATCCGTTGTTTTTTTTTTTTTTTGAAAATGAATATGGACATTTTTGTCATACTATACCAGGGTTCAGCTTATTGAAGTATTTTGTGCCCTTTCTGCTCATCACTGGTCAACCAAAATATCACATCTCTTTTTTTTTCGTGTACAGCAACTCCAGACTTGTGCCTCAGAGTTTTGATCCATTTTGTTGATATTTTTGTGATTTTGGCATTTTCAACTCAAAATTTCACCTTAAAAACCCCTGTACCAAAGTAAAATATTTAAAAGTTGTACTTCCAGATGTACAGGAACAAAACCTTTCCTATATTCTTACAAACATTATTTCAAGCAGACTCCGTGAAAGTTATGCTAGCTTTCTGCAAGATGTAACATGCAACATAGGATTAAAAATATTCAAATATCCTATTTCCTCGAGCAGCTAGTAAATGTAATTTGTGTCTGATATGGATGGAAATTTTCTCTCGTTATCATAAGATCAACTATCTGAGAGTAATTAATAAGAAAATTTAATCTCAAATATAAGGGGCACTGACAGTTCTCACTTGAATAACTCCGAAGACTTGCAGAAGAAACTCTTGGACTTTGGTCATAAATCAAGAGGATTGACTCTTACAAAACCGATCATAGTTGCACAAATTTTTGAGACACCACTACCAGTTTCGCATCAAGTGGGGTTTTATGGCTGAATAAGACAACCATCTCTATTAAATTCATTATTGTTTAATTGATATCAACAATTATCTTGTAAAATATTTTATTCAAATAGAGAGCTCCATTCAGAGAAATTCCATAATTCTTATAACAATGGGTTTCTGCACTACCTCCTCGTTATGTCCAAGAAAACCTGTGTGTGCTTACTCGTCATTTGTTACGAGTGACACTGGTTACGAGGGCTGACTTTGGAGATTACTCTAGTACTCTTCATACCGATTCCTTTTGGGTTCTTCGTACCCCATGTAGACGCATATTTAGACACACCTGATAGTCCTACACTAGACGAAGTGAAACCACTGTGACAAATAGTCGACAGAGTTCTGTATTCACCACTGTTATTATAATGCTGGGATGAGAACCAGGGATCTATATGATGGTGTCTAGTAGACACTTGAAAGAACACAGAAAGCTTCTTGGCACTTGGCTGGATTAAAAAAGCACTCATAAAACTCTCTGACTCTAAGCATCAATGTGGAAAACCCTCGATCCTTTGAAAAGTTTATAAGTGCTATACATTAGTCAATAGTCACCAAGCCTTAGGCAACAGTAGCAACTGATGACTGAAGGCTTTGTCCCTCGCAAATGAGTCGAATTATATGTAGTTTCGTAGTCTCCGTACACGCACGCACGAATCACGGTTTCACATACCATATACACCTTAATATAGTACGCACTATTATAATACGCACACTTAAAAACTATGGATCTGAGAAGAATGCTGCCGCTTTGAGAATTTAGACAATTGGAATAAGTCTCTGACTCCGTCTCTAAACATCTTATTCCAAAAACTATAAATAATTGAATTGACTGTTGCGTTTATAAAGAACGACCTAAGGAAGACAGTGTACACAATATAACCGTCAGTTGATAGTCTGGATTCAAAATGTTTCATTGACACTTTCACTACTGATATTATCAAATAAGGGAGATAACTTATAATAAAAGCTATTGTAATAGTCAATAACATAAACGTGGTCTTATATTTCTCTATGGTCGAAACGCTGGGACGTCGTCTACTATTAATCCGACCAGTTTTATCCTCAGAATTTCGTTTCTGTTTGATTATTGAAATAACTGAAGAGAAGCCTTTTGATTTTGAGTTATCGTTTCCTTCCTCGTCTTTGTTAGCGTCGGTATCCGTAGTGGACTCTGAGTTTTCAGGAGTTCCCTCCCTTAGTTTGAATGTCGATGGTTTTTGGACGTCATGTCCTAGCGTGTTTCGCCTGTGTTTGTGTCTATATATAGCCATACCAATCAAGCAATATAACACCACCAATATCACTGCACATACTATAAACATTAGAAACTGAATACCCAAGTAAATCTTGGGATAAATAGAATATCTATATTTATCACTAAAAGTGCAGTCATGGCCGTATATTCCCGGTCGCCCAGTCGCCTTGGCTCTTAAACCACTCAAAATAATGGCGGGAATTGAAGTAACTAATGAAACTACGACGATGGCCACCATAATTTTGAATGCTGCCACTTCAGTTATCTGCTTGCTATGAGGTCGACAGATTTTCTTATACCGCTCAATACTTATGGCTACCAACGCCAGCACGGACGAAGACGTAGCAAAGAAATTATTAAAACGAAAAAATTGACACAAAGTCGCGCTAGGAAAATTAAAAGAATGTCGCAGATCAATGATTTCGCCCGGAGAACACAGAATGTTGCTGATTAAATCAAATATGGCCAACGACAGAATAAAAACACGTGAAGGATTGCGTTTGAAGTATTTTGAATATATCACAATAACTAACGTATTCCCACAGAATCCGATCACTGCCAGTACTCCGACGAATATCATGGCCGATAGAAATATATGATACGTTCTTTCTATGCTCAAACCTTCCAAATAGTCCTCGATTTCTTGCTGAGTGTAGTTCATCGTCCGATTAGGTGAGGAGATATTTTCAACCTTTCCGTCCATTTTGAGATTTTCTACAACCAGATCCCTGCAATAGATAACATAATGAAATGATAAAAAAAATGAAATATAAATATGTAAATGGTGTCCAAAGGTACAAAAATTAAAATTGAAGGACACTGAAAGAATCGATCTGCATTCTAATTATCAGTCAGGCGAGTGTTAGTCATCCATTTTCAAGTGTTGCATTGGCCAACGTAGTCTCGGCGTACAATCCAATCAAATTGTTATAAGAAAAGTGACTAATGATGTCAAGGTATTAGACGCAATAGCTTGGCATTGTAAAGATGATGGTTTTTTTTAAATTTGCTAGGCCTACTTCATCTCATTTGATCTCCAGTATATTTTAGCTGAAGTCTTATTGTATGTTATTCAGTTAAATTTCCCGCCATTAATTATGCTTTGCGTGCTAACAGATGGCGATATAGCTATTACATCAATATGGCCACCGCAATTCGAATGCTTCATGCACCAAGATGAACCTAAAAGAATTTGATGTTGTTTGAGTAATCGTAAATATTTGAGTGTTCTACTTCATATCTTGTTAAAGAGTGACAATAAGGATCAAAGTTCACATCAGTATCATTTAATGTCCTTGACATCCACGTCCTTCTTTGAAAAATACATATCAACTTCTTGGAATTTTCTATGAAGTTACGCGATCATTTGAGTCTTTCTTGCCTACGATAATATCAATGTTAAAAGAACTGGATAAAAAGTACTGAAAATTATATAATTACAGTTGAGTAAATATATACATACTGCTTTCATCAGCAATAGTGAACGTTTATTGCTCTTGTGGACTATATCGAAAATTTTCGTTATCTCGAATCGACCTAGATACTCAATTTTTACCAAGTGCTTTGTTATATATACGTTTACTCAATATAGTCTACTAGCATCGTGTCCTAGTTCAACGTAATTCATGTACGATGTGTATGTACATTGTACACGTTACATATTTTTGTTGTTAGTATTTCTATGTAATGGATAAGAATAGTTGAATATTCTGAAGAAACTATCGTGTAGAAGGGTTTGTCTGTAAAGCTGCTGTAGTATTTCGTGTATTATTGCTCCCTATACTTAATGTGTGTTTTAAAGACTTTTTAAATTTGGAAATTTGAATATTATTATTGACGTGTGTAACACCCGTTGTAGGCCACTGTAACTTAGTTACAGTTATATGCATAGATCTGTTGATCAATAACATTAAGATTTATTATATTGGAGTGTCAAGGAATAAAAGAGTATATTCTTTCCTAAGGTTTAGAAATACATTGTTATTTTTATGCAAGTTCAATGGTTGTATAGGTCTGTTGTCTGAAGATCGCATAGTCAACTCTTGAGTAAATGAATACGTGTATTTTTAGGTTCTGTTTTAATATTAATATACATTATCATATCCTTATATCCTTTGAAATTACTGTGAATTATATATAGTGTGAGGTAGATACGTTTAATAATAACTGTGGTTTAAGGCTTTATATGCAGGTAATTTGAAATATATGTGAATTATCGGGAATGAAAGGGGTGTTTACACGAACAGTGTATAGATTTTGTCCGTGTTATTGGAAATTACTCTGAATTCTAAGAACCAAAGGCTGTGTGTATATTTTTCAAAACAGCCGTGGTTTTGTTATCCTGTGAAAGGAGTGTATACATGAACGGTGTATAGATTTTGAAATAACTTACTAGTAGGTTTATACATGTTATTGGAAATTACAAATTACTGTGAGTTATTAGGAATCTAAGGCTTATTACTTCAACATTCTCTGTGTGTGATATCTAGAACGTGTAAGTCTATAAAACAACACTTATCGCAATAAATTGTGAACTATCAAGTACTAGAAGTTATATAATTCAATACTAGAGTATACGAGAGTTATATACTACCAGAAAATATTGTGAATTAATGCGAAGTACTACAGTGTAAAGACTTTATTTTTCAAATATCATGCAGTACTAAATACTATATATGTCGATACTTCTAGTTATTATTATGAACTAAGTGAATTATTCTTTAGTCAATTGGGTATATTTTTATATACTGCAAATAATTAATGCAATAATATTCACTATTGGTTATATATATCAATAAATTATCGTGTAATATCAATACAGGGTTATATATATCAATAAATTATCGTGTAATATCAATACAGGGTTATATACTCCTGTGACGTATTTCTAGGTATTGTGGATTAATAAGGTTAAGGACATAAAGGGAAATATTCGTATCAGATTTCAACATGAATAACAAAGACAATAGAACGATGAATTACACAGCAATTAACAACTGTGAAAATGTATATATGAACTCTCCTCATGGACTTGTGAATAATACAAGTATAATTGCGCAAACTGTAGTAATAGGAGACTTCAACACTGTAAATAATTACCAAGGGTCTTACCAGGATGAAGAAAGCTCGGACGATGAAAGTTTATCAAACGACCAAGAGGATCAGCTAGCGACCTGTGTTGCTACAATTGATGATGGCACATTGCAAGAAATTTCACAAACTTTTGCTAACAATTGGAAAAACCTCGGCAAAGCTTTGAACTTGTCGGCAGAACAAATAGATAAAGTGCGGTCAAAGTACATGAGTAAAGGCCTGGAAGAACTGTCTTACCAAATCTTAAACACGTGGAAGGAAAACCACAAAAATCCAATGATATGTGATCTCGCCAAAAGTTTTGAGAAAAATGAAGATTTGGCAGAGGAGTATAAAAAACAGTTATACAAAGCGGTACTCAAACCTAAAAATCACCCAGCAATTGAAGGACCAGCACAAAGACTCTCCATAGACTTGCCCACCTCCACACAATAAATATAGGACAAGTGGACTGTCTAAAAGGCTGTTGTAGAAAAACTGAAATACCAATTAGACACTATTTTGTGACTTGTGTGTATTCCTCAATGGTAAAAGGGCGTGACAGATTACATATAGGCCTTTTAAAAATATCAATATTAAACTGAAATATCAAGTAAACGATGTAACAATGTAGCGCTGTAATGTGATCTCTCCAAAAGGGATCTATATGTGGATTTTCTGAAAGTACAGACAAGGGTGGAGATCCAGTTACAAAACAAAAACGTTGTATTTTACTGTGGAATCAGTTGAGAAAGTTCAATTGATAGTTTGAACCATTAGTTTGTGGACTTTACAGGTATAAATAAGCAATAAATATTCCAAAACTATACCATGTGGACTCTACAAAATGTGGATTTTCCGAAAGTACAGGCAATACAGATCTAGCTATATGAAAAAAGACCATTGCTGGGAGATGTGAACTCTGTATACAAAATCTGAATTAACAGAAATAAATCTTCGGTACGTGGATTTTCCAAAGAATAATGCCAAATAGGCAATATTCATGACTATTCCATGTGACCTCTCCAAAAAGGGTCTGATTTTAAAGGGCAAACATACACTGTCTAGCCATCTACAACCACCAAAATACTTGTTTTAGTAAAGCTTAAATTCAAATAAGTCTGTGGACTGAAATGAAATAAAAAAAAAGGATTCCGCCATTCAGTCTAATTAAAATTAGACACATCTTTCGTTTCGTTTTTTTTTATATTAGTTTTTATTTTTAGTATATACTTCACAGTAGAGTCTAAAGACTAAAGAGTCTTGAACATTCGTCTTATTAACCTTTTGACACTATCGTGAAGTGGCTATACTTAAAAAAATACTAATAAAAAGACGAAACGAAAGTTGGGTCTGATTTTAAGTAGATTTTCCCCCATTCTACAACATTACAGGTTTGGTTGGACATATTTATTTCCAATTGTATTGCAGTTTTTTCCCTTTATCTATTTCGCTTCTTAGAAATATAATTTGATGATAAGAAATTATCCGGTTTGTGAAATAGTCAGATAACCTGCTATTATTGAAGCTTATTACGTTTCAGCACATTTGAAGATCATAATTAGAGTCTTAACTAGAGTATTTTAAGAACACTGATTGTTTTGTTATTCAAGGTAACTTGTTGAAGGTATACTACCTCTTAGGATGATCAACAAATTGAAATTTTAGCCAAATTTTTTTAGGTCGGGCTGATCTAAAGATATAGGATTGGCAATAGCTTAATGTTCAATTTTTTTTAAAACATTATTAGGCTAATGTAAATAGACAACGTCATGCATTGTGCAATGAGGGGCAAAGGGTATGGACGAAAACGACACCTATAGACAGAATAAGTGTTAAATGTATTCTATACTATGTTTAATTATAAACATATATGTATTTTTGTTGTATATTATACGACTGTACAATGGATATGTGTATTTTTGTTGTATATTATACGACTGTACAATGGATATATGTATTTGTTGTTGTATATTATGTTATTGTTCTTGTTATTATTATACTAATATATCTTACAGTATAATTGAATTGAATATTTTACATAAAAATGAAAAAAGTAGGCTATTGGTATATTTGTCTTATTTTTGTGTTTTCGTAGTGGATTTTATTGTAAAGTAGAGTAGTTATAATATCACAATATATCGTGATACTTAGTCCAATACAAGCGATTTATCTCAATATATCGTGATACGTACTCCATTACAAAGAATGTATCACAACTTATTGTGAATCGTATTCCGCTACTAAGAGTTGTATCTTAATATATCGTGATACGTATTCGAATACAATAGATGAGATGTATCGCGATAAGCATTCCATTTCAATACAAGCAGATGTATTGCAATATATCGTGATACGTATTTTAGTACAAGGAATGTATCGTAATATATCGTGATTTGTATTCAAAAACATGTACATGTACATGGGATATATCGCAATGTATATGTGTCAAGATGCGAATTCAAATACATGTACATTGGATAATTCGCAATATATCGCAAAACGTATTCCAATATAAGGATTGTATTGCAATATATATCGCGATACGTATTCTTATACATGTATGAAGATATATGAAATTCAGGTGTATTAAAATTGCGCATAATTCATATACATTATACAACTCTTTATTTAAATGTACAAAGTTTGAGATTGATCGCCCATTTTTGTCCATAATGATGTTAGCTTTTATTATGAAATATGTACTTTTGACAATTGTATCAACAGGGTATATACGACTGTACAATGGATATATGTATTTTTGTTGTATATTATACGACTGTACAATGGATATATGTATTTTTGTTGTATATTATACGACTGTACAATGGATATATGTATTTTTGTTGTATATTATACGACTGTACAATGGATATATGTATTTTTGTTGTATATTATACGACTGTACAATGGATATATGTATTTTTGTTGTATATTATACGACTGTACAATGGATATATGTATTTGTTGTTGTATATTATGTTATTGTTCTTGATATTATTATACTAATATATCTTACAGTATAATTGAATTGAATATTTTACATAAAAATGAAAAATGAGCCATTGAGCCATTAAGGAGGCATCGATGAAACACCAAGCCATTAAATAACCACTGACACAAAGTTCCATAAGTAACCACAATGAAAGACTCGGCAATAAAGGTAACTACCATGTGCCATTCAGCCAATAAAGTAAACGCAATGAGCTTCTCTTCAATTGTCTTCAATAGGCCATCAGCATTGGAATGAATAGGGCATTTAAGTCACCACATGGAACCACTCGGTCATTTACATCACTACAATGAAAATCTAGGTCATTTAGGTCACCCCAAATGAACCACTCGGTCATTTAGGTCATCCCAAATGAACCACTCTGTCATTTACGTCATCCCAAATGAACCACTCGGTCATATAGGTCACCCCAATGAACCACTCGGTCATTTATGTCACCACAATGAACCACTCGGTCACATAGGTCACTACAATGAACCGATCGTGCATTAAGGCCACCACAATGAACCAATCGGACATTTAGGTCACTACAATGAACCGCTCGGTCATATAGGTCACTACAATGAACCACTCGGCCATTTAGGTCACCACAATGAACCACTCGGACGTTTAGGTCACCACAATGAACCACTCGGTCATTTAGGTCACCACAATGAACCAATCGGACATTTAGGTCACTACAATGAACCACTCGGTCATATAGGTCACTACAATGAACCAATCGGTCATTTAGGTCACCACAATGAACCACTCGGACGTTTAGGTCACCACAATGAACCACTCGGTCATTTAGGTCACCACAATGAACCGCTCGGTCATATAGTTCACTATAATGAACCACTCGGTCATTTAGGTCACCACAATGAACCACTCGGACGTTTAGGTCACCACAATGAACCACTCGGTCATTTAGGTCACCACAATGAACCAATCGGACATTTAGGCACTACAATGAACCACTCGGTCATATAGGTCACTACAATGAACCACTCGGTCATTTAGGTCACCACAATGAACCACTCGGACGTTTAGGTCACCACAATGAACCACTCGGTCATTTAGGTCACCACAATGAACCACTCGGTCATATAGGTCAATACAATGAATCACTCGTTCATTTAGATCACCCGAATGAACCATGGAGCATAAAGGCCAACACAATGAAATTTTCATCAAGAAACAAGAGGTGTCTATAGAGATTATTACACAAAGAAATCAAACAAACATCAACCGAATGATGATCTTGAAATTGATAAGAAAATATCAATTAAAAATGTCCCACCTGAATTCGAGATAGATAAGTTCCAATAAATATAATATAGGGACTAAAACAATGGAATCCATCACGTGTGAAATGATTAAAATCCAGATGACAATCGGAAACTACCATAGTAGATTTTGTCAATGTCAGTAATTGTTAGGCAACTTCAGTCCTAATACTGCTGCATGGTTGACACAGAATACAATTCCTATTCATTGATTGGTTCATTTCAAACTTAAATCCAATCAAAAAAGTAAACCAACTCACCTGGAACGATGCAAATTCCAGAATTGTAATTCCAAAGACTAAAACTATTTTACATGAATTTTACACTGACCACTCTGACCGATTTTTAAATCAAATTGTTTCCATTGAAAAGATTTTCGGAGTCGGAGTTATCGGAATAGAATCCCATTGTTCTGATTGGTTAATAAAAATAATACTAGCCAATTACAGTACGGTATATATCAACCATTGGTAGGAGTAATGGTGTTTGAGACGAATTCAGTTCTTATCAAAGTAACAATCTATGATATTATTACTGACTATGTAGGGTAAAGATAAGATAAAGCGAGATAATAGACATATTTTGTAATGGTCTTGTTACTCACATGCAAGGCTGGAAATATTGTAGTTCTAACAGTTAAACACCCCTAAATCTTTTATTGGACTCGTCCACACGTGCATTTTTACTTAATTCTACTCAGGTATTTCTTTCAGAACAGTTCATACGAAAAATTAAATCTATTTTTGGTGAGTTTTTAACATCGATCACGTAGCTATTAAGGTATCGTGTAATTAACATTTGTATTTGGAAAGAGCATCACTTTTGCCTCTGTTCAGTAGTTACTAGAGTCTCTATTTGTCATAATCGAGGTTTCAAAAAAACGTTTCTAACGTTCCCGACGACACTCTATAAGAAATTACATGTATTTAGAGCGTCGACGACACACAGTAGCCTATTTGGGAGGTCTTACAATAGTCTTTTCCACAACGATCTTCAAACTAATAGAGTGTTCAAATCTAGGCTATATTCGCCTTTCTCAATTCACTATCTATTAATTCGATTCAATTCGGTGCTCTCCGGATACATATTGGTTCTGAGTTCTGTGACCCTCATTAATAGATCCCATGGTATAAATCCTGCTGGGTCGTAAATACAGCAAGGTTAAAGAGACAAATGCCTGATGCCGAATTAGACAAAAAAAGAAATTTTGTTTAAACAGTTCAGAAAATAAATATTATATCCGCTTATTATATCGCTTATTTGATATCTACTGTTGATTTGGTTACCGAAAAGCGTTGTAATGAATGACAACACGATTTATTAGAAAAAGTACCCTAGTATCGGCCCTGTCCTAGAGAGTATAGTGTCTTAAAGCTACCTACCTACAGCTCTGATTTGATTTACATTTCGATTCCAATTAAACAACCCTAGTACCAATGCCTACTGTTGAAGAGTAAATTGTTCCGGTACAATCTTCCTTATAACTAAAACTATATCTATCAAACCATTCACTGTGTAATATTAGTATTAATTACTGTCTGTAATGAAATCGTCATTAGAAATATTAGATATAAATATCATGATTCGGTGGTGATCTATATTTAATCTTCCGGATGACTTGAGTTTCAACTGAATACAAACATCCTAGTCCTCCAACCTTCTTTGAAGTCATTCCGGATGGACGTCTATGCTAATTTTCAGAAGTATGATTTATTCTCTAAGATGACGAATTTACGTCGAAGCATCACAGAATAGTGTGTCTCCTACAATATATAGGGGACTCAGAAACTTAACACTGGGCACAATATTAAGCATTGATAACGTTTGCTTGCTGCGCCCTTCCTTTACGTCATTATAGTTTAATTCCTTTTGTATCATTATTACTAATCATAATGTAAGTAGGCCTCATTAATATATTTACTCATCAACCCGGTTTGATATGTATATTCTTAGAAACGGTATAGTCAAGTCGGTGCAATATGCAAGGCCATTGCATTGTCGGAGATCTGATAAGGATATACAGCGAAATGTCCTTCGTGTGACCTTAATAACATTATCCTGTACAGAGAGATTGTTTACTTCAGACTGAGTCGTTTAAAGTCCAATTTGGAAAGTTTACTCCTCATTTCTAATAAATGTGTCGGCAGCTTGAGAAGACTATGTAGTGGACAGGGATTGCAAAATAGTTTCCAATGCCTTTGTACATGTATCGGAAAGCTTTGAAGTTATATCGCACCATTTTGATGGTAATTCATGGAAGACCTTTATCAATGATAAAACTTGCAATACACATATGTCTACAAGTTTGTTTTTATGGTTATAAGAAATAAACGATAATCAATAGACTTCAAATTTACAAATGGGAGAATGACAGGTTCAAGTCGACTCCTGCATCGCTACTGCTAATTCACAAAAGATAAATACAAAAGATGAATACCAAAGATAAATTCCAAGGATAGCCACCAAAGATAACTACCGAAGATTACTACCAAAGATAAATACAAAAGATAAATACCAACGATAAATACCAAAGGTAACTACCAAAGATAATCAAAGAAATTAACTACCAAAGAAAACTGCCAAAGATGACTACCAAAAATAAATACCAAAGATAACTACTAAAGATAACCACCGAAGATAACTACCGAAGATAATTACAAAAGATAAGTACCAAAGATAAATAGAGAAATTAACTACCAAAGATAAGTACCAAAGATAAGTACCACAGATACTTACGAAAGATAACTACCAAAGATACCTACGAAAGATAACCACCAACGATAACTACTAAAGATAAATACTAAAGATGAATACCTAAGATGAATACCAAAGATAAATACCAAAGATAACTACTAAAGACAACTGCTAAAGATAAATACCAAGGATAAATACCAAAGATAACTACCAAAGATACCTACCAAAGATACCTACGAAAGATAACCACCAAAGATAACTACTAAAGATAACTACTAAAGATAGCTACCAAAGATAAATACCAAGGATAACTACTAAAGATAAATACAAAAGATAAATACCAAAGATAAATACCAAAGATACCTACCAAAGATAAATACCAAGGATAAATACCAAAGATAGCTACCAAAGATACCTACGAAAGATAACCACCAAAGATAACTACTAAAGATAACTACGAAAGATAACCACCAAAGATAACTACTAAAGATAACTACTAAAGATAGCTACCAAAGATACCTAGGAAAGATAACCACCAAAGATAACTAGTAAAGATAACTACTAAAGATAGCTACCAAAGATACCTAGGAAAGATAACCACCAAAGATAACTACTAAAGATAACTACTAAAGATAGCTACCAAAGATACCTAGGAAAGATAACCACCAAAGATAACTAGTAAAGATAACTACTAAAGATAGCTACCAAATATACCTACGAAAGATAACCACCAAAGATAACTACTAAAGATGAATACCAAAGATAACTACTAAAGATAACTACGAAAGATAACCACCAAAGATAACTAGTAAAGATAACTACTAAAGATAGCTACCAAAGATACCTACGAAAGATAACCACCAAAGATAACTACAAAAGATAGCTACCAAAGATACCTACGAAAGATAACCACCAAAGATAACTACTAAAGATAGCTACGAAAGATAACCACCAAAGATAACTACTAAAGATAGCTACCAAAGATACCTACGAAAGATAACCACCAAAGATAACTAGTAAAGATAACTACTAAAGATAGCTACCAAATATACCTACGAAAGATAACCACCAAAGATAACTACTAAAGATGAATACCAAAGATAACTACTAAAGATAACTACTAAAGATAGCTACGAAAGATAACCACCAAAGATAACTACTAAAGATGAATACCAAATATACCTACGAAAGATAACCACCAAAGATAACTACTAAAGATAACTACTAAAGATAGCTACCAAAGATACCTACGAAAGATACCTTGGTTGGTGTATACTGATACTAGCAAAAGCTATAAAAATCATATTTTTGGAATATGGTGGGGGTAAGACAAGTCACTGGCGCCGCCACTACAGGGATCTCTCTTGGCATCTAGCTAGGATAGGTAGATGACAAGTAAACGTGCGCTTCAAGTGGATGCTGATATCGTAAACTGGCATCTGCACAACGTTTCTTTAAAAAGTAACGTTTTTATCATCAATATCGTCATAAACATTCCTGATGTTTTTTAATTTTCAAACCAGCCAATGCCATTTTTACGATTTGTTTTGTAAATATGCACACACTCGTGAATATTATATGAGTACGAATTGATCTCGTTTGCATAAGCTGGCATACACGCCCCCTTTGAGCCAAGATCGACGCTTTATGTATTTTAAGTGTTTTTTTTTTTCAACTCTCTGTAGACTTCGTCATTTGAGTGCGTCCTTCTATTTAAACAAACACCACTAGGGGGACCTTATGTTTGATCACTTAATGTAACTAATTTAGTGAGACGAAACGACGAAAGAAAACACAATAGATACAAAGCTATATAATCATCACGAGAGAAGGCAAGACGTTTGAGAATCATACAGTTGAATGATTCATAGACCGAAACATCTGCATTTTTTCCAGCATCTTTGACTGGTGTAGACTTCAGCCGACGATTTAAAAAAAATTCTATCGGAGGCTGGATGTTTCGGACTAGGTGATTCAGTGCTGTACAGGTGATGGAAATATGTTTCATTGCAAACTTTGTCAACCCGTACATCATTGGCAATAGATACTAACATGTATAAGCCACTAAGAAATATCAATGGAGTAACCATAAAGCATAAAGTGTCAATGGTATTGGCCACTGGTTATTTGTGTCAGATGAAAAAGGAAAGTCGCTGCTGAAATAAAGGTGTTTCAAGAACTGCTTCAGAAGGTTCAAGAAATTTTCACTTCTTAGGATTAACGTAAACGCCTCTTTAGCATAAAGTGTCAAGGATAGTCGCCACCATAATAAAGTGTCAAGGATAGCCGACACTATAATAAAGTGTCAAGGATAGCCGACGCTATAATAAAGTGTCAAGGATAGCCGACGCTATAATAAAGTGTCAAGGATAGCCGACGCTATAATAAAGTGTCAAGGATAGTCGCCTCCATAATAAAGTGTCAAGGATAGTCGCCGCTATAATACAGTGTCAAGGATAGCCGACACTATAATAAGGTGTCAAGGATAGTCGCCTCCATAATAAAGTGTCAAGGATAGTCGCCACAATAATACAGTGTCAAGGATAGTCGCCACAATAATAAAGTGTCAAGGATAGTCGCCACAACAATAAAGTATCAAGGATAGTCGCCACAATAATAAAGTGTCAAGGATAGTCGCCACAACAATAAAGTATTAAGGATAGATGCCACTAAAAAAAGAATAAATTGTTCACTAAAATGTGTCAAAATTAAGCCAACCCTTAATGAAAAATTGCTTATCAAATATTTTGAAGAATAGCAACATATAATCCTAAATCTAAAAAGAACTTAATCAATATACTTTTGTTATTATCGAAAGTAAAAAATGGGAGCTATTTTAACTTCAGCATCTTCATGTAACAAGGTTTCTTTTCTTCATATAAAGATGATACGCGTCGTGTACTGTGTGCTATGGCTGCTAATGTTAGTGGTACCGACTGAGTCTAACTGTCCAGTTAAAACTTCCAGTATCAATTATAAAAGTGGTTTGCGTCAATTGAATTTAAGTTTTGTGGATCTTACTACCAGTTCGTCATTACTTTGTTCGAAGCAATGTCTTTTGCGTTCGATTTGTCATTCCTTGAATTTCAATATGGTAACCAAACTCTGCGAATTAAATATTGCTCCACTCTCTAGTAACATCTTATCACCATATCCAAACTTTATTCATATATCAGCCCAGATGTTGTATTCGGAGGGGATAGGAGAGGTAAGAGGTTTTTGCTAACTTTGTTAAAACTGTGGAGAAGTCTGGGTAAAAGTGGCTATCACTCGCGAAACACCTGACGGTACTTCAGAAAGAATCTCTTTAGAGGAGTACACTTCTATACAATTTTTACTCTCGATTTTGCCATGCCCTGGACAAGACTTTGCTCAATGGAATTGTCTGACTAGTACAAATATTTATTCCAGTCCTTTTTTTTTCAAAGAGCTTAAGAGAGGAAGAGCTTAATGGGGGCCCATATTGAACTTGCCACTTGCCACTTCCAGATTCTGCAAGCAACTGGATTATCAACGTCTGCTATCAACTGCTAGATCTGTAGGAGCCTCGGGCCACAACACTTTCTCAATTTAAGAAAACTTCTGTTCTCAATTGTTGAGGTTGAGAATCTACTCCGTTGAGAGATTACTCAAATATGGGGGCCCCAAACCGTTCTCGCGATTATTCTCAGTTAAATTGAAGTTTTTGAGGCCCAGGGGCCTGTATATACCGGTTGATACCGCCCAGCTGCTAATAGTCGGTCTAACTTAAAAGTTTAGCCAACGATCTTGGCTCAGTTTTACGGAAACTGCTGAGAACTTCCGAATGGTCGACCGGAACTTCATCATTGATCTGATTGTATCTCATCATGTTGACCTAGATAGTAGTGACGGGTGTCGCGCGCCAAGCGGACCACGCTTACTCTTTTCGAAACACCTGGCACTTTTTTTTGGAGGAGTCCACTACTATAATATTTGAATTTTCCATAATTTGGACGAGATTTAAACGGAATTGTCTTGCTTGTACGAATTGTTATTGATTCTACCCTACACCTTCCAATTTTAGATTAGCTCTTTTCCTCAATTAGACATAGACCTCATATTTTTGATGTTGTTTTTTTCAGAAACTGGCTGGATCTTGCTGGGATCATAATTGTCCAGATTTCACCGTTTGTGAACGAAGTGGAGATAGTTTTGCTTGTATTCTAAACGGTAGGTCTATTTGACTCTAGGTCTAGGAGGGGTAGGGCCTGTTTCAACCTCCTCCCCCGCTCATGACAATCATGTGACCCCTACTCGGCCCCTCCATCTAATGATTCATAGAAACACCATTGTTACCAGCTTGCGTGTGCATGAACGAATAGTTGCAGGTAGGGACCACAAAACTTTCATGGTACGCAGGCAATTATGTATGTCCCTTTGTACAATGGTACGAAATTTATAAGTGCCTCCACCTCTTTTTGAACCATCAATATGTAATCCCCACTTAGTTCGAGTAATGTAACACTTATAATTTCATTTCTTTCATTACAGTGGATCCGAAGAAACGCTGTGCACAACCTGCACCAACCATACCCTTTGCATCAGTGAATTCCTATAATGAATCAGGTGATGTAGCTGTTTACACGTGTAATGCTGCATATCTAAGTGGGTCACCGAATATCTCTTGTAGAGCGAATGGGGAGTGGACCGAATCTACTCTACAATGCGAAGCTGGTAAGTAAACCAGAGACATATGGAAGGGTTTTTGAGTCATAATAAGATCCTCTGTTAAATTGTCTAATACTCATTATGATACCGTCAACTTGGTCATATTGCCTTAGTAAATTGCGATAAAACAAATGTTTTTGGTCATTTCCTCGCTCCAACTCTTCGAATCACATGTTTACATATCATTTTAAACATATCATTTTAAACATATCATTTTAAACATATCATTTTAAACATATCATTTTGGTATTATCATTTTCTACATATCATTTTCAACATTTCTCTTAGCAATATGCAAATGAGGTCAATAGGTGTGGCTATCAGAAAATGTTTTCACACACTGTACTGTGACTTACTTCAAATAAATCTGCAATTTCTTTCACTTTAAAACTAGAAGAAATAAGATATTCTAATTGCTCTGCTAGAATTAATATCCTAGGTCGACCTGTATAACCTACTGTTGTTGAGGTTGATAAACATCTTTGTTTCCCGATCTCTTTCGTAGCTTGTGCTTCGAAATTATTCCACGCTAGGGCCAAATTATCCAGTACGATCTGCAGACAATCACCTATACCCTGAAATTCCATTTCAACGCTTATGACTCCTATTATTCCGGATATACATTCAATTTCGAATTTTACATCCGTTGTAAGTGATTATCTGCACTCTAGTTTTGTGGCTACGTCGGTAATTCTGCTATGAACTTCCAAGAGCAGTTCTTCATAAGCCACAGACATTTTCAAATTGTTGTTATTTAAACAAATATTATCATAAAAATGCGCTTTGAGATATGTTTAAAATGATATGTAGAAAATGATATGTTTAAAATGATAATACCAAAATGATGTGTAAACTTGTAATTAGTGAGGAAATGACCAAAAACATTTGTTTTATCGCAATTTACTAAAGCAATATGACCAAGTTGACGGTATCATAATAAGTATTAGACAATTTAACAGAGCATCTTATTTTGACCTAAAAACCCTTCCATAGTTCTTGTGGTAGATATGTAGAAAAAGATATGTTTAAAATGATAATACCAAAATGAAATATGTAAACGTGTAATTAGTGAGGAAATGACAAAACACATTTGTTTTATGAAAATTTACTTATTCACAATGACCAAGTTGACGGTATCATAATAAGTATTTGGACATTCTGAACATTTCAATAATGGATGACACAAATTAGCAGATCATCTTATTTAGACCCAAAAACCCTTCCATAGAGACAGATATATTTCATTACCTGCGATTTGATCATTAAAAGGACGGATGTGCCAAATTTTTTTTGACAAATCATACTTTAGTCTCAGAAACGGGAATTTTGTTAGTTAAGCCAATCAGTAATAGTGTTCACAGCTCAACTTCGAAATTAAGACTTCAAATCCAAGTGTTTGCAGAATATCGCCGTTTGAAAGTTAAAAAGACTATATAGAAAAGACATCCATAGAAATAGGAAAAGAAATTCCTAGTTTGAGATATTTTTACAGGAATTATGCGATTTTCGCATCGTGTCTGAGGGCCAGACATAAAATGACGTTTCTATCGTGACGAAATCACTTCCATATATCACGTCTGAAGAACGTATTGGACCAAACTTGTCAATGGCCACAAAAATTGGCCAAAAAATTAGGGACGAAGCCCTAACTCCAATTTGTTGGGCTACATGGCACACCGATCAAATATGTTCTCCTTTGTAGCATGCTCTGACCATCCACCAAAGAGACCGAACACAATAGCAATCTTTTTTACCAGTCAAGTAGATAGTGAGGTCTTGTACATCTGTATAAAAGGATATCGGTACAGATCCGGACATATGGTGTCAGTTTGTCAGAATGACGGAACTTGGTCAACAAATGTTACGATTATATGTACAGGTGAGACTAAATATTGTTTTCATCGATTTCGAATAGCCGAGGGCATCACAAAATAAAATGCAAACACATATCAGGACAATAAATTGCCGAGAAATGCCTAGAATACTTTCACTTCACATTCCATTTTCAGATAAATGTAACTAATCCGTTCCAGCTCTCGTCTACGCGGTTTAAAAATCTAACATGGCTGTGTAAAACTACAGAGAACTGTGCCTGAAACAATCGCATGTCTCTGTGTTCAGAATAGAAACAGGGCGGTCATCGAATACAGAAAGCAGATCTAGTAACGGGTGACTGAGGGACTCTCTGAAATTCCAACCCACCCGCTTCTGTTAACACCGTAATCTTACTGCATGTGTTTTCAGGCAAGATTTGCGAATGTACGTGCGTAATAAAGTTTGACCTATTTTCTTACAGTTGCAGTAAACTGCTCAGCGTCTGATCTACCGGATGTGTTTGGTACTGAACGAGATTATAACGATACAACAGAAGGAAGTTTAGCCATCTACGAATGTAAATCCACGTACATCTATTATTCTGGTAACTTTTCGGTGGAATGTCAGGAGAATGGGCAATGGACCACTATAAGTCTGGTTTGTTTACGTAAGTAATAATTAACTATCACATGGACGGACAACCTCTTCGTCAACCAAACCAAACCAACCAAACATTCTTCCGGAAGACCATACTAGGAGTCTACCCGAGACTCATTCTCATACAGACATTTGAAAAATTCTTCACGTTGAACGTCTTTTTCATTGTTTATTTTCAGCAACAGCTTGTGTTCAAACTACTTCCAATGGCTACATCTACCAGGGAAACTTGAGATTATCTGAATCAGGACAAACCTGCTTACCCTTTACACACACATTATCTAACTACTACGATATCAGCAAGTTTCCGTACGACGCGACGATGGACGACGTCGATAACAAATGTCGTCCGACGAGTGATATGACGCCTTTTTCAAGACCCTGGTGTTATGTACAATTATCTATTTTTCCGTTGAAACGAAAATGGGAATACTGTGCTATTCCGGACTGTTAAAGGGGCCTTGTGCAATTTTTTTCATTATTAAAAACGATATAAATTATACCTTAAACATTCAGATTTGGTAAGGGACACTTATCTCTTTATTTTGGTCTGTAGTTTCTGTTAATTTGAGCACCCGAATTTTTCAACCTACTATATAAAAAAATCGTATTGTCTCTTTAACACTTGCAATCGAGACAGGTATATTGTATGTCCATTGTAGTCTCATTATTTATGTTAACTTATCAAAACCATTGTAGTCTCATTATTTATGTTAACTTATCGAAACCATTGTAGTCTCATTATTTATGGTAACTTATCAAAACCATTGTAGTCTCATTATTTATGGTAACTTATCAAAACCATTGTAGTCTCATTATTTATGGTAACTTATCAAAACTATTGTAGTCTCATTATTTATGGTAACTTATCAAAACTATTGTAGTCTCATTATTTATTTTAACTTATCAAAACCATTGTAGTCTCATTAATTATGATGACACACTTTTGTAGTCTGTCTGACACAAGATACAAGAGATACTGCAAATAGTCATTTTTTTCAAATGCATGACCTGGATCAAATATGCAGGAACTGGAAGAAATGTAGTATTCAGAGTTGAAAGAGATGGTACATTCCAGGGATCAACAATTTGGGGAAGCATGGAAGATAGACGTCATCATATTATTTCAAATAGGCTCCAGCAACCATGTATATCATTTAGGATAATGGACATAAATAAAAACACTATTGTACACAGATTTTTTTTATTAATTTTTTTCATCAATTTTTATTTTTGTATCCTTAATGATTTGACTATTTACAAGAAAAACTTATGTCAATAATTATATCTTTATACATATTTGCGGTCACTTTATTATTATAAGAATAATAGTTTTGGGGACAAGAAAAGGAAAAAGGAGGAAAAAGGAATCTAATGTGGAATCATTTAATTTTTGTGGGCATCAAACATCGATTTCTTCTCATTAGCAATAATGAGGGAATCTAGATTTAGGAATTGTTTATTCTTTCCAGAATATTTTTTCTTAATGCATAAAAATTCTTCTATCTCTTTGATTATTTTCATATTTTTATACCCAATATGATAAACCAATATTTGATATTGCCCTAAAATAATAATAATACCATTTTGAACAATAAGTATAGATATTATATGGGGTCATTATATTGTGAATTAGCTAACTCACAAAATCAATAACAGTTGTTTCCAGACAAAGTCTGAAAGTTGATGCCAATATAAAATAATGCATGATATGAGATTGTCTTTGCTGTTAATCACATTTATATTCAGAAAATTAAATTTCTAATTTAAACAACGGCTAGAATGCCAAATTTTTTACCTATCCTTGAATAAAGATACCATTAGTTATTTTTTTTAAAATTTTTGTACAAGTAATACTAATGCCTGGCCATTTTTTTCTGTTACAAAGAAAATGAATACATTAAATGAAATGCAATTTTATGCTGTATTTTTATTCCCCATGTAGGACTAAAGCTCTTAAAATGGACATTAAATTTAAAGTTTCAAACTTGGTCAACAAGTGTATTTTATTAATCAGTTGGACTTACCACGTGTTAGGAATAAATAATAGAATCTCTATATAAGAAATACATCCATAAAACTAAGTAATTATTGAAACAAGCTTCTAAGCATGTTCAAAATTACTTTAATGAATTATTATTTCTGAGTTTTGTGGATTTATTGGATTATAGAGGGATTCTGTTGTATAGTTATGACACCAGGTAAGTCTTATTGATGAACAAAGACTTATTTTAACCAAGTTTTAAAATTTCCATTTTATTTCCATTCTAAGAGGTAACATACCTTTAATAAGAGAATATTTCAGTTGCATTACATATATCGAAAGTGTGTTATAAGAATACAGACTAAATAATAACACATTTCCCCTAAACAATAAATAAATACTACTACAAAGATTCTGAAAGACATTTTCAAGGATAAATAAGCCAAAATATACTTTAAATCATAAAGAATGTCAAGCAATCTTTATCGTTTTGGCAGGTTTTTCCTAGAGTAAGTTCTAGTCTATCACAAAATGTATCATATAATATAACTGGTGCTTATGCGGAAAGGAAAAATATGCCAAATATACCAATGATGATGTAAGTTTATATTCACAATCATGATATTTTGGCATATTTATCCATCTGGGTTTACTGTACATTAAGTTATATCACAATTGGTTATTCACACTATACACATTGTTTTAGACTACCCATAAGTTTGAGACACACTAGAGACTCAAATTGCACTGTAGTTAGCATATGCTTAAAGGGACAGATTCGCCATTTTCTCTGGAGGTTGATTCGGGTCCTGAATATATGTTATTAGTCTTCAGAAGTATTAGAAATGTATTAAAATTACATAATTCCTTCAACAATATCTCAAACTAGAATTTCAATTTTTCTTTCTCTATATTTTTTTTTTCAATATATGGCGAACCTTTCTCTTTAAGTTAAAAATTAACATATTATTACACTATTCCAATTTTCAGTCAGATGTCTGTAGTTCCTGCAATTCCATTAAAATATGGCATTTTATTTCATTACATTTTTGCAATAGTAAAGTCATCACACACTTAGTTGTAGTGGAATTTCAGGAACTTCAGATGCTAGCAGTGCCTCCAATTTCTAAACGTCTTTACAATCCCTTTAAGTTAAAAATCAAGATATTTGTGGCAACAAGAATCTGGACAGAATTTATAGTTTTGTTTGTACCCGTACCTATATTATTTACTAAGGCACAAAATTTCAACAACGCTTAGAGAGACAGGGGATTTCAAAATAAAAACTTAACATAGATCAAGTTAAAGGGATATACTGCTCTAAATATTTACTTACCAGCTGATAGAGCTCAATTTCAGCTATCTATATAGTCATCTAATTATTTACTTTACCAGCTGATAGAGCTCAATTTCAGCTATCTATATAGTCATCTAATTATTTACTTTAGCTAACTTATTAGTCGTTTTAATATTTACGGTACCAGCTGATAGAGCTCAATTTCAGCTATCTGTATAGTCATCTAATAATTTACTTTACCAGCTGATAGAGCTCAATTTCAGCTATCTGTATAGTCATCTAATAATTTACTTACCAGCTGATAGAGCTCAATTTCAGTTATCTGTATAGTCATCTAATAATTTACTTTACCAGCTGATAGAGCTCAATTTCAGCTATCTGTATAGTCATCTAAATATTTACTTTATCAGCTGACAGTGCTCAATTTCAGCTATCTATATAGTCATCTAAATATTTACTTTGATATTTTACTACTGAACTCTATCAGCTGGTACAACAAATATTTGATATATCCCTTTAATAGTCATTTAATAATAGCAATACTGATTGGTTAAAACCCAATATATCTTGGTGATTGACCAATCATAATACTGGAACACTTAATCTTGTGTTAAGTTTTTATGAAATTGGCCCCAGAGCTATGAGAGCTTAATTGCATCCAGTTATAACTGTACATTTACAAAGAGTTCAAATAATCCTAAGTTAAGACTAACTTGAGACAAAGTTTCAACAATTTACACTTGATCTACGGATAGTTATAATTTAGAAACACTATAATCCATTTAGTATAATTAGGCTATGACTATTGTTCTGTATAGATTAAAATACCCTTAATTAATACACTGTAATACAAGTAATTTTTTATACAAATTATGCAACCTAGTTCCCTATTTCTCAAACTTCTTGTGATCAAAATTCATCCAAAGTTCAAAAATTAAAATCAAATAAAAATTATGATGAAATCTGTCATAATAAATAATGAGAACAGGAATTGGGGATGTAACAAGACACTTGAAATAAAAACTATCAATTTCCTTTTCATTGTGAAGAATACGCTTCTAAGAAACAACCAAGAACGAGAGATAACTTGAACCTTGTTTTTATAAAATATAAGTGAACTTCCTGTTTTAAGAAAATGATGTACAAGGTTAATAAAGCAGTCATTTCTGCTAATTTGAGCTTGGTTGAGTTGATTCATAACATTAACACGAGCACAATTTCGGAATTTTTCTGCACCATGTGGGCCAAAGAAGACCGGATAGTCCACTTAAATTTTAGGTAGTTAAAGTAGTAATCGACAATATAAGTTTAGTCTGTATAGTATCTATTATTTCTACCTACAAATAAAATGGACTGGTCGTGTTTAATATGTTTTTATATCTGACCTGGATAAGCAGAAATATCTTTGCTTGACTATACCAAATAATACCCAACATAGTCTACATCCCTTCTTATAAAGGATGGTTATGTACACAGTTAGATAGGGAAATATACAAGGAGACTCTTTCTGTCCAATACTATTACTGTCTTGTATCTTTTACAAAGCTGTCAATGATTAGACTATCATTTTAAACATGTAAGCATGATCTGGTAATATTCTCTACATTTACTTCTCCTAAAGGGTTGATGGATTATGAAAATTTTAAGTTTTTGCACAGAGTGAACACGAAGTTACACTAGCATGAAATTGTGAGACAGCATTATTCTCTTTATTTCACTTCTCCTAAAGGGTTGACATATTTATACTAAACATTTTGTAATTGTAAAGATTGAAAATATTAGATTCAGATTAAGATTTCTGTTTAAATATGTTTTTCAGGGATTCGTTTTCTCAAAAATTGTTTTTATCATCTATCTAAACTAAATGATTCAATTTCATATTTTAACAAGACAATTAAAACTTGGTAAGAAATAAAAAGAATCTAGTGCTTGTTGTTAAAAGTTTGTAATGTTTAAAACTATTATAAGACACAAAACTCTTATCTATGATTGGTTGAACAAATTGAAGTCAGTACTGTATCAACCAATCAGATTGGGTGAAATTATTCAAATTCGAAAATCATACATTACAACCTTCTCTACAAATCAAACTAGATTCAAATTTTCGACTAGAAGTGTGACGAAATCTTAAAATAGCTGTTCAAAATTATACAGCACTTGGAGTTATGTTTCATTATATCATATTATGACATTTTTTGAAGACAAAATTTCCCTCTAATCAACACATTGATGAAAATTGACCGATATCATGATTTATGATTTGTGAATTTTTTTCCAATATTTTGAATAATTCATGGTATATATACAATAATGATTATTATGTTTGAAATATTAACTATTCTGTATTATACTATGATTTTGAGCCTTGACAATAATTTCTCTATATTATTATTCTGGAAGGGATGGAACTTGAAATAAACTAAACGCATTTTATAGGTGTTCTAAAGAAGTAAACATTACCTGTATAGTTTTCGTGTACAAACATTACATTGTATGCAATTACATTTCAAATATTTTGCTCATAAACAGTTTTAATAATATAATGTATATCTTAAGAACACAAATTATATAGATATATTACTTCTAGGTTTATTACATACTACGTTTTGAAACACATACAGGTAACGTTATCAAGTAAAAATTTGTAGTATGTAATATGTAATAAACCTAGAAGTAGTATATCCATATATCTTGTGTTCTTAATATTTACCTTCCTCCTTCTATATGTCTTACAAAGATTAATCAATATCTATTTCAATGCCAGTGTAAGCAGGGCTTGATGGAATTAGTTTTATTACAAAGCTTTCTTTAAACGAAATTAAGCGAAATATTAAATATACTAAAAGAAAGAAAGCAACCAATAATATCAAGTGAATGATGCAATACATCTTATAAATAAAGAAATGAACAAAATATTGACAATCATTTCAGAGGGAGCCTTAAATTATTACAAAAAAGATAACATAATACAAGGGAAGCTACTCTTGTAATCATCATGATTTGTCATTGTCAGGTGTATTACTTCTAAGTACTCCACTAATAGCATATTGAAGAATGTTTTGATAAGTAGATCTCAGATATCAATTGTTTAATTTTGATTTCAAAATGACTTTATTATTTGCTGAGAACACTATAGTTAAATAAAATTACAATTTGAATATCAATGATTGGTCATACTTAGAAAGTATAAAATCACATGAATAAATAAATCAAATTCTCATTATTATTGAAAGTATTTTCACTGAAGTTCTGATAAACTGGTAAAACTTGTCTTATTTAAATTCACTTATTACCATATATGGAAACTTAACGGGCATGAATTTCACTGAAATATTCAAATTTGTCTTCCGAATGTCATTTGAAAAGAACTCTTTCCTATAATGTTGAAAAGTGTTTGAAGATGGGGGGCAGTTGGCTTGGAAATATTTCGAACAAATCAGCAACTACTTGAAGAAGGCATAGTTTCCTTGGAACTATCTCCTGGCGAGGAAGGAGATGAACTACCAGTGGGTGATGAGGCTTGTGATAATCGTCTACGTTCTTTCCGTAATTCTTTCAATCTCTGTGTAATAATACGTCTCATAACTTTATATTTATATTGTAGTTGAGATATGTATTCATTTTCTTCCCGAGATAAAACAACAAGGAAATTATTTAACTCTGGTAAACTGAAACCATCCCACTGAAAATACAGAATAAATTAAATGAAATGAGTTTTATGTTTGGAGATAGCTTTATTTTTATGAAACAGCAACGCTGGTTAAAATCTTAAACAAATGCGGCCCTTGATCAATGAGTTCTACCGTTCAGGATTCACATAATCAACCCGACGTTCATTAAAACCAGTTGAAACAGAGACTTACAGAGTGTAGAACCAAAAATAGTAGGTGTATACAGAGTTCAAAATGACAGAGAAAAGAATAAATAAGGGTAAGAAAAGGCGGAACCTATCAATCCAGCACCATCGAGAAATGAAAAATAGAGAGTATAAAGATAGTGGACCACAGCCATATACCCCCACCATGGCATGCGGCTGGTAAATATTCAAGATTTTGGGGCAAGGGCAATAACTCTGCTTCTAACGGTCGAAAATAGCTCAAATTCGAACTTGATCTTCGTTTTATGAATATGTATACACATACCGAATTTCAATTGATTCCATAAAAAAATCTAGTTTTTAGAGCGTTTACAAGCAAATGTTGACGGACTGACAGACCCACGGACGGACAGACCGACAGGGGAGCCGACAATATACATCCACATAGAGAGAAGTGGGCGTATAAAAAGTGATGTCTGTAGTAAATATTTTAGTACTAAACATACCACTATTTCACCAGTTTCGTTCTCCTGTAAAACAAGTCTATATCGTTTTAAATATTCCGTATCCCAGTTTAAACAAATATGGAGAGGATATTCTTTATCTGTGACTCTCCGTAATTTTACTGAAAAATAAAATAATCATTATTATCTCCCTTGTATTGTTGACAAATGTATTTGAATAGCCCTACTTGTTTGTTTCACCATGTCAAGGTATTACGAACTTTGTCTTATACCTTGACTGAAATATGCAACTTTCCTATATCACATACGCGGCGATTTGATTGGATTGTACGCTAGTGATTATAGTCAATCAGAGTCTTCAATAGAAAGACTGTAAACAATAAGCCATAATGTTAACAGTCTGTCTATGATTGGCTGTAGTTTCTGACTCACAATCCAATCAAATCGATGCATTCTGTGATAGAAGAAAGGTGGTTATTGCAGTCAAGATAAGCGACGAAGTTTGTAATAGCTTGACCTAGTTTGCCATTTTGTCTTAAGACTTGTGGTAAAGAAACCATGGAAATAAACTTTAAACCAAATCTTATCAAACTTAGATCACAATTTCTTTTTTCAGATATTTTGATTCTTGGTTGTAATTAATCAGGTTTAATGATGTAATTTTCAACTAATCAAAGTTAGTACAATAGGACTGTTTCTTGCTAACAATAACGAAGTGGCTATAATTTTGCTTTACTTTGGTTTTCATTATGTTATTCTCAGCAAGAAACCAGTACTGCAGTATACTTTGATTGGTTAAAAATAATGTCATAAGAACTCGATTTTATCGATGTATATTAAAACAATCTTACCTATTTTGTGACCATCGAATTCCTGTTCATACATAGCAAACTTTCTAGGATGATCTATAATATGGAATTTCTTTAATAAATCTCCTATCACTTCTTTTGTTGTTGTTTTACTGTAAAAAAAACATATTATTATTATACATCACTGAAATAAAACGTTTAAGCAACTTGAATAGAGGACAGACTGAATGAATGTTAGAATTTGTTGTTATTTGCTTGGTTTGATCGAAAAAATAATAATGGTGGGTTCTAATCTTCAGTTCGCATGTGCACGTCTGATGACCAACAATAAGTCATCTTTACTCATTATTCTGTTCCACTCAGTTGTAAATGGGTACAAATATTCTGGAAGAGAGTAACACCACAATGCTTTGGCCAAGCTGGTACACATGATACTTGAGTTTTTGTCTTTTTGTTCAATCTAAAAATTGACGGGTTCTTCAACCAAAGCTCAGTTTTCGAAACAAGGGCAATAACTCTGGACTTACCTTGATGTATGGATGGATTTGACAGTGTCTCTAGGCATATAGAAGGCTATTGATTGAGTGTTCTGTTCCACTATATGTTCCTTGGTTAACATTTCATAAATAGACGGAGGTCGAACTCCTAGAGACATTGTGATTGGTCGAATGAAATTGAGGGTGACCTTGAGAAAGCCCTGGAATGTTTCACCTCCTTCGTCCTGTAAAATTAAATAGTAAATAAAATATCACAGGGAAATCTTTTGAAATCAATGTCATTAAATTATACAGACACACTGTCAGGTTTATCACACTATTCTCAGAGGCCTGCCTGATTCACTGCCTATTCCAATACTGAGCTAATATATGTACCCTGAAATGACCCTCAAAACCATTGTACTTGGTCAACTTTCCTTATAAAGCATGGAATCACATTAGAGCAGTGGCAGCACCAGCCTCCAGGATCTGAGGGTAAAAATAGGAGACAGCAGGCTTAATAGAGGCATAACTGTGGGGGTTGAGATTACGAAAGCAGAAGACTTTTGGAAGTGTTTTAGGCACAGGCCTCTAATAGAGGGTCAGAGAATTTCTACCCAAGACATTTTAAAAAAAAAAAAGCATCGTTCAGTTCATTTGAACACATTCTTGAGCACAAACGTTTAAAAATAATGTTTTGAAATGAAGTGGGGGTATAAACTACTTTTCTGGGGGCGCAAAGGACCCCCTGTACCAGCCCCTGGGTCATAACCACCTCTGTATTACAGACTAACATTAGTCATTCTCAAAGATTTTCTACGCATTATAATACCTCATATTACTAGCATGACATACATTATTAATTAGTTTTCTACATTGTTGACCTATGAGTACTAGTACTAATTGTGTTTTTTTGGAATAATTTGCCAAGTTCTAACTGACACTAGCATACCTATGGTATGATTGACAGCTAACGTGCCAATGTATTAATCATGGTTACATACAGAGTGTTTTATGCATCTATTATTGTTCTTAGAAGCATGAAAGAAAAGTTCTGTTTACATTAGCATGCTGTGTTCCGTTCTTGATCTAGACCTGGATCGGTAAAATAATTTTTACCATTTACAATACAACAATTTCGAACATTCCTAGAACAGTTCTATAACAATAGTGTAAATGATTTTCTGTTCTCAGACGCATTTTAATGGAACTCTTCACAAAAGAGTCAATTTTAGACATTCTTATAATCCGGATGAAGACCAATGCGTCTGCTCACACAAATTGTAGAAAATGTCAAGGAGTCAAGACACATGGGTAAGAAATATTCTCAGAATTATCAACCGTTTACAATACCAAATATTAACTGTTCCATTTTAAGAACTGTTCCGAGACCATCTCTCCTCGGTACTCTCAATTGGAACTGTTCTCAGAACGCTCGGCCGTTTACACTAATGAATTTTCATCCATTCCGTTCTCAGAACGGATAATTTTTGTAAAGTAAACAGAGGTTAAATAGAAAAAATTGTGTTTTTGGAATAATTTGGCAAGTACTAGCTGACACTAACATACCTATGGAATGATTGACAACTACTCTGCCAATGTATTCTCTTTTTTCCCATTTTGTTTTTGGCAAGTACTAACTGACATTTATTCTTGCAAGCAGAAAAGAAATAGCACATTGTTTTTTGAAATGATTTGGAACTAACTAAAAACAACATCTATTAGCTTAGCCAATCAGTAATAGTGTTCATAGCTCACAGTCGCAATTTGAGAATTCAAATCCATGTGTGTCCAGAATTATCTGCGTTTGAAAGATAAAAAGACCACACGTCTTTTCTTGAGACACTGCCATATATAGAAAAGACGTGTACAGATATAGGAAAAGAAATTCCTAGTTTGAGATATTTTGAAAGAATTATGTGATTTTGGTACATTGGCAAAGCAGTTCCTTTAATGCTGTCATATTGGAAGCATAAAGTTATCAATTTCTGGTATTTAAGTTGATATTTTTTCCATATTCTATCCCCATAAAAGTAATTAAATCTCTATCCAATTGGCACAAGACATCATTTTTTTCTTTTTCCCTAATGCTTTTTTCTGAATTTTGAATATTTGGCAAGTGGTACTTCTGATAGATAAAACAATCTCCATTGTTTGTTTCTTATGAAGAAAGTGATGGAATAATTTCTTTGTTTCGGTAAAATGTCAAGATTGCCAAAATGTTACGTAAACAAAACTATTATCAACATATTAGAAGGCAAGTATAAATGGTCAGCTGCCTAATTGCTTTCAATCTTATTCGAAAACACAAGATTATGGAAGAAATGACTTTAGGACTATAGGATGTCCTAGGACTCTCAGTGTTTTCAATTGAAAAAGCACTGAACTTAGCATCAGATTGACTTCATAAAAATATTGGAATTTTTGATTAAAATATTGTCAGATCATTATCCATCAAATGGTCCTCAAATCTTACAGAGGAAGTCATGTTCAACAGTAAGAAATAGATCCATAGACATACAATCTCAAAACTGTAGGCCAATGCACTAGGGCTTTACATTTCACTAACTGACTAATTGTACTATCACATCTCATATTTTTACAGAAACAAAACACTAATAACTAACTGTCTGATGAACTTGCGAATATCACAGAAAAGAAATGAGGTTTGATCAAGAACCAGCTGGTAGAAAGAATCCTTGTGATCTAAGATATCCTTTACATGGTAGTTCTTTTCTTTCTTTATATGTATTTCAAAACGCCAAACTTTTAAAAATTAGAGAATGACATAACTTCATTGCTTCTGTATGTTGATTCAGATTCAGAATTTTGAAAAGATTTGACCATCAAGAGCTAAGACAAGTGTAAAGTGTTTTGGAGGTTGTTGGGCACAAGCGACAAGAACTCTTGAGGCAGATTTCACCAACCAACCAAAGGTCATGACTCTCATATTTTATACTTATGCTCTACCAATGTTGTGCATCACTCAGAAATATTTCTACTTCTGCTACTACCTGTTGCCAATAACAACATTAGTAAACATGTCTGAGAACGTTTGAAGGTCACAGTCTTTTAGTCTGACTCAGTCTTCAGGTGCAGATTCTTTTACGTGGATGCCAAAGTTTTCATGTTTCACGTTTTCTCCACATTTTTGTGGTAATATAGAACTACAAAAACAATCAAATACTTTGAAAATACAGAAAAATCAGTACAGTTTCACTTATCAACAGTTCAAAAGTTTTTGAAGTTGCTTTAGACTTGAATTTATGTCTTATGTTCCATGCAGATAGTCTTCAGAAGTACTAGAACTGTCCAAAAGCAATAAATTCAAATATCCAATTTAAACTGGTAAACCCCTGCCTGAATATTGTAAGGTTTGTCTTCAAGGTCAATATGGGGAAATGAACTATAAAGGCCTACAACTTTCGTATGGCCCTTTACTAAGAATTCTAGGCTTTTTATAAATTGACACTTTCCTTTGTATTATGGGAGAGGTAACATTTGGGCAAGTAATATATCTGGAGGGGCACTAGTGTATCAAGCTTAGTTGCAGTAATGGAATTGGTACTTGGTATTGTTACCCCTAGCCCCCCCTGTAGCTACCGGCCTACACAGCGTAAAGAAATAAAAAAACTTACAGGTAAGAATTCTGCGTTTGGAACATGATGATTGTAATCATCTAGTCTACGTTTTAATTCTTCACGATTTAGAGTTGCCTCCCCTTTATGTTTCGGCAACTTGTCATCTGGAATTGTCCCTGAACGATATCCACTGTCTGTTTCATCATCCTCCTGGAAATACAAAATAAATCATTAGGTTGAAAGGAGGACAAACATCGGGTGGAAAGGGGGACAAACATCAGGAGAAAAGGCTGCAGGAGAGTTTTAGGACTCATTAGGTGGTAAGTGGGCAGGGGGAGAAATTTAAGTAAACACTGGGTGGAAAGGGGGTGTAGGCTTGAGTAGGGTAGTACAGATACCCTATATTATCATTAACTATTATGGCATCTCTATTGTACCAAATGGATTGTCTTTGCCTAGGGAATTAGGTATAGTGTGTTCAAATCCTTCTCAAGTTAAGAAAACTTCTGATGCCAAGAACAGTAATTTCAAGAGTCCGCGCAGTGTCTGCTTTCAGTATCTATCACCTAAATATAACAAATTATTTTTAGAAGAAAACTTGACTTACATTGGATTGCTCTACTAATGTATGCTCACTTTCAGCCAAGGGAGGTAATAATGGAGATTTTTCTGATTGTTTATTATTCACTGTTTGATTATCTCCCTTACAAACACCGTTCACAATGTCTGCTGTCACTTTATCCTCTAAAATAGCCGGAATTTCAGGTTTGGGCGACACTAAAATTGCCCGTTTATCCGAAAGAGAAGTCTCTGCGGCACTGCCATCTGGTGTTGATGGTACCTCTGTTGGCGAAACTGTCTTGCAATCTAACGAAACTGAAGGTACACACGTGTGATGACATGTATATTGACAGTCTGAAAACAGAAAACAGCATAAATTAGTTTGAAATCAATGGAACAAATGAAAATAGAATTTAAAACCTGCAGATAAGACTTTAGAGATTTAGATATGAAAAGTTAAAGAAAACTGTTTTTTTTTTATGATTTGTAAACATGTCTGTCTGTGTAAATATGTCTGTGTATGTAAACATGTCTGTGTGTTTGAGCAATGTCTGTTCGTGCAACATGTCTATATGTGTTTGCTTATGCAACATGTCTGTAAATGTGCCTGTATGACATGTCTTTTGTGTAAATGTGTCTGTTTGTGTAAATGTGTCTGTTTTCTGATATATTGTTAAAATTCAAATAAAAGTTTTCAGCAGAAAATCAATTAAAGTATCATTAAAATATTTCTGTATTGAACATTATTCAAGTTGAAAATTTACTGTAGGTTGTCAAAACTCTATCAAATTCTTGTTCTATTGAAATTATAACTAAATTGATTACACATTTCAATATGTAAATTAAGTCAAGTGTATTAGTCAAGTGCAATTCAATTAAATAAAAACTTAAAAAAGTTAACTTGCATTTTCAGCTTTTTAATTTTGATTAATTCAAATTTAGTTTAATTTTATTCATTTCAATTGACTACATTAATCCATTAGACTATATGGAGTCAATGTGGCTCATGAAAAGCTCAATCTACAATTCTCTGACTTGAAATACACATGTAAGTCCTATACTATGTATGGTCAAACAATGAGCACTGACATCCAAACCATTAGATTCAAAATAACAGTTTAGCAATACATTGGAAGCAACAAATGATTATTCTTTAAAGAATCACTGGATATATAGATATACTCTTTCTAACATTTATTAACTCAACACTTCACATCTACTCATACAGGCAGCACTATCAAATATTATAAAGAATCACTAGATATATAGATATACTATTTCTGTATTTATTAACTCAACGTTTCACATGCTCATACAGGCAGTGTTGTCAAATATTATATAGAATCACTAGATATATAAATATACTATTTCTGTATTTATTAACTCAACGTTTCACATGTTCATACAGACAGTGTTATCAAATATTATATAGAATCACTAGATATATAAATATACTATTTCTGTATTTATTAACTCAACGTTTCACATGTTCATACAGACAGTGTTATCAAATATTATATAGAATCACTAGATATATAAATATACTATTTCTGTATTTATTAACTCTACGTTTCATATGTTCATACAGACAGTATTATCAAATATTATAAAGAAGCACTGGATATATAGATATACTCTTTCTAACATTTATTAACTCAACATTTCACATGCTCATACAGACAGTGTTATCAAATATTATATAGAATCACTAGATATATAGATATACTATTTCTGTATTTATTAACTCAACGTTTCACATGTTCATACAGACAGTGTTATCAAATATTATAAAGAAGCACTGGATATATAAATATACTATTTCTGTATTTATTAACTCAACGTTTCATATGTTCATACAGACAGTGTTATCAAATATTATAAAGAAGCACTGGATATATAGATATACTCTTTCTAACATTTATTAACTCAACACTTCACATCTACTCATACAGGCAGTGTTATCAAGAGAAGAATGATATGATAGTAAAAATTGTATCACAAGTGTCAAGAAGAGTAAGCATACATGTTTGATGGTGTATAGACCTTATTCACTCAGCGGCCATATTGAATCAACAAGGGTAACGTTGTGTCACCTATATAAAATCGCCACTTTGCTGTCCTTTAACCTTCTCCAATCCCACTAACTCAAAACTAATCGTATTTTACATCATTAAATTTGGAATAAATTAAGCTATTTAATGATACTTTCAGATGAATTTTACACATTATTGATATAAGGCAGTTTTAAGCTCATTTTCTCACTGTTGAACAAGTGTTTAGTGACATCACATAGACTATTCCTTCATATGACATTGCTATCTTATCAATGGATGATGTAATTTGAGTTATGAACCTCGCTTTCAGTGTCTCAAACACAAGATCTATGGTGATAGGAATAGAGACCAAGTACCATTACTATAGACAATATAAACATGATAAATATATACAGTATAGAATAGAGAACAGGTTCTAATAGGAACCACTTAACTAAAACATCTTCTAAGACATTCCTGGCAATCACTTCATATAGTTCCTGATTTCTACTAACAAATAGCAGATAAGTTCAAAGGTGGTTCTGCTGGTAACAGATGATGTATTTTAAAGTGGATATTTTCTGTAATTTCTATGTGTATCAGACATTTTCATAAAAACTGACCGTTTTAATGTCAATAAGGCTATGAACAATATCTAAGAATCATTGCAATGATGATGTCATACATAGCTCAGTTCTTGTAGAACAGGAACGGCAGATTTCCCAGTGAAATAAGATGCCATGAAACTATAGCAGCCATACAATATAAGCTAACATGAACTAAATTACCAAATACATATTTTAGATGGGCCTTGTGTGATAAAGCTTATTTGGTGATTAGTGACATCATGAAACACTCAATTTGAGTGGAATTGCAGGAAATACGGACATCCACTTGAAAATAAGGATGGTGCAAATTGATGCTAATACAAATACAAAATTTAGAAAACCTCTTCACAATCCCTTTAATGAAATAAAGTTTTTAAAGACAATTTTAAGTCCTATATTCAGTCTTCTATAATCATTAATTTTGCCAGGACAGGCACTACTTTCCCTTTTGTTTTTGATTTCTCTTTGAACTAATTTTAAATATTTATTATGAAAACATATGATTAGTTCTAGCTGAGAGATTCAAGCATGAAAATAATCTACTCTATTATCATTGGCCTGTCTTCAGATAAACTGGTATATGATTTTATATAACAAAATATACCATTGACTTGTTACAGTAGTCGTCAGGTAATTATAGAGTCAGATCAAACGGAGGAACAAACACCATAGAGTAGAAAATATATAATACCACTAGAATGTATCTAAGTACTGGGTTGGGCTTCAGAGGCATTGTAAAATGAAATGGAATGGATGTAGCTTTACGTCTTACTTTTCTGCACCATGTGGGCTAATAAAGTGTGCAATGAAGAAAATTTTTGTCAGGACAGCGGCATTAGCCTGCTCTTTTTCGATTTCCAACTGTCGAGGGATCTTTAACAAGCACAGCCTGTAGCACACGGGGCCTCGGTTTATAGTCCGATCTGAACGACAAGAGGCTTTTTCAAGGTCAACCCCTCTTACCTGCATCACTCACAGGGGGAAACCGGGTTGAAAAATCCGAAGGTATTATCTCAACCTATGCTGGGATAGGTTAGTGAGCAAGTGTCTTACTGAGCCATCGTGGCTCCCACCAGACATTGTAGAAATATGCAAAGTTACAAAAGTTCCACATTGCATAAATGGGCTTTATAACAGCCTTGAATAAGGAGTTTTTGATGAATGATGGATGATAGTCTGTATAATTTATTTCCCATTATAATTGATTTAGTTCCTGGTACCAGATATTTGGCTTTTCACAGAAATTACAGGAATCAATCTAAAATACAACCACACCAATCATTAGATCAATAACCTCAACAAAACAATTGGAACTACCATTCTGTTTTATCAAGAGATGATTAAATAAAATATTTTTAAGATCATTGGCCTTTTGCCTCTTAAAGGGATTGTAAAGATGTTTTCTAGCTTTTTGTATCAGAGAGACATTTGACTATTTGGGACATTTCAATTTTTCGTCCAATGCCTGTGGTTCCTGCAATTCCAGAAAGAATTAATTGTAAATGACGCAGCTCCCGCAAAAGAATTCATAACCAACCTACCACCAGACAACAATAACATATCGTTATCTCCGCTTACAAAATGGCAGCATTTCTAACTAAAAATTGCTGAATCATACAATTTCGTAATCTCATATCTTTCCAAAGTGTTATTAACTTTGCCTTAGAATATAATTGTAGAAAATTCCATGGTCTACTCCTGCTCAAGAGAAATATTATGGTTACTTTTCCAGCAAAAATGAAGCCCAGTGTTACATCATTAGTCTCAACAACAACAAATTTCACATTGATCAATTTATGCCTTCATTAAACTGTGTAATAATGATTAAAATGAAAGTTAAGCCAACCTAGAGGGTGTAAAAAGTTTATGACCTGATTGCATGATACTTATTAAGAGTTGAAGTAAGCCAACATAGGTGAAAAAATAAGTTATAGCTTATGACTCTACTGTGTGGTAATGATTAAAATGAAAGGTAAGCCAACGTGGAGGGTGTAAAAAGTTTATGACCTGATTGTATGATACTAATTAAGAAAAGAAGAACTCTGATATAATTAGAAATGTAAGAAATAGAATGAAAGAAAGTTATAATATAAACCAGATGTTAGGATCGATACACAGTCATTATTTTACTCTACAAGTTACACACCATACTGATATATTTTACTACAGATTATTGGAGGTATAGAAACAACAATTACAGCAGAACAGCAACCCCAAACAGCAACCCCAAAACAGCAACCCCAAAAAGCACCCAAAAACAGCAACCCCAAACAGCAACCCAAAAACAGCAACCCAAAACAGCAACCCCAAACAGCAACCCCAAACAGCAACCCCAAAACAGCAACCCAAAAACAGCAACCCAAAAATAATAACCAAAAAGTTATGAAGCAGTAACACAACCGAAAAATAGCCAAGATATCTCCGATCTTTCCATTGCGTAAAGGACCAAGAATTAATTTCCAGTAACCTCTATAAAAAGAAACAATTGGGAGCCTCAATTCTTAATTTCTGTCCAACTTTCCACAACAGTTTGAGATCTTCAAGATGTGTTCTTGATTTGGATATTTTCAATTTTGCCAAAATAAAATTTCACCTGAAGAAAAGATTTTGATACAGAATATTACAACAGAACTATATTAAAGACTTGGAGGAAAGACTATCTACTGTAAATCTATATTGACAGTATTACTCAATGCCCTTATCAGATGTACTG